CGGCCTGCCCAGGCCCCAAGGTCAAGATCGGTTCCTTTTTTCTCGCTCTTCTTTCATGTCCGGTCAAGTCAAGGATGTACTAGTAGTTCTGAGACTGCGGCCTGCCCGAGATCAGTCAGGACAGTCGGTTCAATTGACACAATCTCGACTCCGACGCCCTCTCCACCCAACCCAGTCTTGACGAAAGATTCCAATCTCGTCCTTTTATCTTCCTCTTCACGTCTAGTCAAGGATGTACTGTTGTAATTCTGAGACTGCGGCCTGCCCGAGGTTCAGATCAGCCAGATCAGCCAGATCAGTCCATCCGATTGACTTAGCCTCGACTCCGACTGCGTCTCGACTCAATCTCTCCGAAAGATCCCAATCTCATCCTTTATTTTTTGGTCCTCGTACTCGGTCCTCCTCCTGTCAAGCATATCATTCAGTGTGCCCCAGGCATCAGTATCCTCTCTCGTAGTCAACTCATAAAACCTCTTGGGCAACTCGATGCGTCTTAGTTTCGGAAACCGGTCAGCCAAAATCGTCAAGTTCCACGAAGCTTCGTCGAGATTCGGCGTCGCGGGGTGATCGTAGTCCCTAAGAACCAGCCGTTCAAGAGGGTGGTCTTGAAGGGACCAGGGACGAATGCAGAACATCCAGTCCCCACCTTGGTCTTCGTACAATGGAGCCCGAAACGCACCGACGTGGGCTGGAAGAACCAAAGTTTTGATGTGGCGGAAGACGTGCATGATTGCGCCCAATGGGAGTCCGTCTTCGTGAAGGGCGGGGCCGATGTCGAGGTATTCGATGGTGTAGGCTGCTGGAATTGGAAGTGGAGTTGGAATTGATGATGGTTGGGAGGTGGTAGAAGCGTGGGATGGGGAGGTATTGGTGGTGTCTTCAGACCAAGGACCATGACTTGGACATTGCCATAGACATTGTAGCGATGAATAGTGCACACACTCGGATATCCTGAGTGATTTCAGGGTTGACGGTAGACTGTCGTAAAGTAGTGTTGTCCAAGACTCTTCGTGCTCGTAAAGCGAGTGCGATAGTTGTAGATGGGTCAGGTTCTTGGGCCACTTGGACCAAGGTGGTGGTTTCGGGACGTACTGAGATGTCAGGAGATTCGTGTTAGGGTCTCGTTTCCGTTCCTTGACTAGTGCGTTGCGTGGGAGTTTCAAGGTCGTGATGCCGTCCAGGTGGTGGATGGCTTCGAGAAGTTGTGGCAGTCCAATGTCGTAGAAGTCGGTAGAGAGGTCGAGGTATTTCAGGTGTATGCATTTGGACAAGGGGGCCAATGAGGGAATTCTGTTGGATTTGGCAGTTAGTCAAACTGATCTAACTGATCTTGGGTGGCTCGGGCTTTGGCCTGTAGGTATGGTTGAGGTAGGAGGGTAGTCGACTCAAAATAAGACTGAAAGGGAAAAAGTCCAAAAAGGGCACAGGCACAGGCACAGGCATCATGTCACTGAGACTGGAGGAAGCCTGTTTAAGCAGCCACAGCTGGTTCAAATACAGTTGATGCCGCGGCGTCTCAACAAGCAACAATCCGACCGCTTAAAGTCGCCTCGCCTTTTGACCTCGAGACAAGCAAATGACAGGGGAAAGGGGCAAGAGTGGAGAGGGAAACGTACGAGAATGTGATGGCTGGCGCCGCAAAGCCCTCCAGTGAGTCCTTGGTCCGCCGGATCAGGCGCGCAGTCAGACTCTTTGAACTCTCATATGACAGTCCGCTCATGTCGAGGTGTTTGATTAGCTTCTCCAATCCCACGCGCCGCCTTGGCCTGGGATTTTGGTGGCTTGATGAGGACGAGCATGAGGCTGTCGACTTCGGCGAAGACGGCGCATATGTTGTGGATGAAGAGGGTGCGATGGTTCGTACAAACAGGTCAAAGTTGCGGTTGTTGAGGAGCGGTCGGTTATACAAATGCTCTATTGATGCAGTGTACCATGGGCGACAGACCAGGCAGCACGCCCATAACGTCTTCTGGGCGAGAAGCAGGCTTCCAAAATCGGCATGTCGTGAACCTCTGGATCCATGGCCGGAAGCAAAATCTAACTCGAAAGGGGAGTAGGAGCTGTGTCTGATGTGCGATGCAATCTGCCACACTATTTCCACGGGTAAAGGGACTGGCTCGCCACGGTAGGTTGGGTCGCCGACTTTCATGGCGCGCGGTTTGCCGCGGGAGGAGAAATCGTATAGCAAGGGTTGCGGACAGATGTAGTAATCTGCGTTTAGTGCTGTGTTAAATTCTGGGGATAGATGGAGTGGGAATTACAGCAGCAGATGTTTAGAACATCGAGGCTGGAGAGGAGCGATGTCTACAAAAGGCGGCCCAATTATGTCAGCCAATGACGTAGCAAGGCTGTTCTTCAGCCTGACACGTGAAGCTTCGGCCCAATTTGTGGAAACGCCTCGAATAGTCGCACTTTATTTCAACCACCACGCCTCCTAAAGTACAAGCATATTCCAGTTCAAAAAGGGCAGTCCATATATGTCATCACAAACAAGAAGATCGCCAGAACGCGTTGAGTAAGTGGCTTTGTGGCCCGCCGGAAATTTCAGCTGCTGGGATTTCCTCCGCAATGGGGCATGATGAGTTCCCCCAGTGTCGACATAAGCTGGCCTACTCGGGTTCCACGGTAAGAGGATTGAGATTCACCTCAAGGCCGTGGCCGTGATAAGCATGATGGTTTATGTGCTTGGTTGGGGCTGCTCTGGGTTTGTTCAGACAGCTGCTAATGCTAGGGGGAGGAAACTGCGATATGCACAAAACGTTACAAGGTGTGGCTTGTAAGTAAAGGATCGCTGCATGGCTGCACCGGACAAAGACTAGCAGCTCTCAGGGGATGCTTGATAGCGGATGGCTTCTTCACTTGCGGCGGTCATGAACGCCCAGAAGTCCCAACAAACTGCCTTAGAACTGCCTTTCATTGTTGTTTTGAGTACCTTTAGCGCTCCTCAAGTTGTCCTTGATTATCGGGTAGGTTGTTTTCCCAGTTCATAGGTACTGCACAACCTCAACCTGGAAGAAAGTGAGGAGTGCTTGTATCAGAACAAAGATCAAGGGCGATGGTAGGGTGTTGAGAAAGCAGTGTTTTGGTATATTCAAACCTTGTTGATTGATCAGAACGGGCATAGAGCAAAGGAATTCATCGATTTGAGTTGCATACAATGCAGTGGGAATGGTCCTTTGAATGAATGAATTTGCATTCGTTGTATGCGTGCCGTGGCAGCAGTGGGAGTTGAGTGTGACTGCTCCATGGCGCCTGCTGCTGTTCTTGCTTGCATTTGTTTTTCTGGATGCGAACAACCGCAGATTGTTATGTTGAGTTGAGATTCCCGGCGCATTGCAGGCCATTGTAAGTTTTGTCCTGCCTGCGTCTTGCATGAAATGGTTCCTTGCGCCTGTTCCTGTGTTCAACATATTGCTTATCCGCTGAACCCAACACCGCCTTCGCACTCACGGCCATTACTTTCCCAGATTCGTTCGGCATCTTTGCCTCACTTACTTAAAGTTTTGCGCCTTGTTTCGATAGCTAAACTCACAGATATTCCGCACGGGTCAGAGACAGCTCTGATTCTGCAACATTTGGCATAGTTCCGCAGGCACGCATACCATCAGGGCGCAACTACAAGCTGAGGCAGTGGAATTCGAGCGGACAACTAGCTCGGTTGAGTGAAGCAACAGACAACTTTTCCGTTCATCTCAATATTCTAACCCGCTTCAGGTTCACATCCGTCAAGCACAGTGAAGATGCTGGGTGCACGCGCACGTGCGGCGGAGTACAATGCTGCCAAAGCGGCCTCTGCAAGACAAGCCTCGCGTGAAGCTGAGGAACAGAAGCTGCCGCCAAAACCAGTGCCCATCTCTCTGAGCGCATTCACCAAGAACACTCAGCCAAACCGCAACAAGGGTGCCAAAGCCTACGTGCCTCTGGTCCTGGAAGATACACCTGAAGGCAACAAACAGGGTCTTGACGAAGAGAAGGATGAAAGCATGGCTGCAACACCAACTCACCAAGCTCATGCCGTCGATCGTGGCCCTGCTTCTCAAGAGGTCGAGACTCCTCTAGGCCCTCGAAACCCTCAGCCTGTTCGGGCCGCTCCAGCAGTTCCAGCACAAACCGCGCCCAAAGCGATGATTGCCTCAGCGGCGGAAGCAACACAAGGACTTGCCAATGCCACACCGTACCACATTCAGCCTCATTCCACCTTCACACAGTCTCAAGAAACCGTTCCGCTCAGTGTAAACAGTTCTCCGGGTGCACCGCATGGTACTTGTGGGTTCCCATTCTTTGATTTCATGAAGTTGTACTTACCATTCTCTTTCAGCAGCATACCCAGCTTATATCCCACCGAGACCATTGCTTGGTAACACCATGGGCCCCTCCGACATAAGTCCCTCAAAGCAAGAGCACAAATTCGCCATGCTGTCTCAAAAGTACATACACCCGCACATGGTGACTGGAGCGACTCCTCATCTGTACCCGGCAACACCAAGCATGCAAGGAAGATCTTCAATGGTCACTGATCCATATGCGGCCGCAACTCCGGGATGGAACGCCAACCAGCCGTTCAGTGGGTTCGAACAGATGCCCAGTCAGCGTCAGATCTTTCAGAACTTCAACTCTGACGAAATCTTGTCTGCTCCACCCGCTCGAGAGCCACGCATCGCTTCTCCCATGCATAATGCCGCTCTTGCTGTTGGTTCTTCTGCTGCAAACACCGACGACTCCTTCCCGCCACCGGCAGCCGCTGAAGAGACCACGGCAGAAGTGGCCACTCTACGGTTGCTACGTCTGACGGTGGCAACACCTGACGATGAGCCTTATGATCGCAACAGCAAGATGCAGAATTTTGTGGCGGCCCAGCAGGCACTGGCAAAGACAGGCAAAACGGTTTTGCACAATCCCGAGTTGCATCGTGTCAAAGCTACCGCAGGAGGTGGGCCTGCACCAACGGACGCCATCGCCACGGCTCTCGAACATCAAGTCAAGGCTGAAGCCAAGAAAAACGATGACGGGCAGATATCTCGAGCTTTGCTGAGGCCTCCCCCGGGATTTGAGTTCAAAGCAGATGGAATACCTACCTTAGCAGTCTTGCGCGAAGGTGAAGCAAGCGACCCGTCCCCCATGGATAGCGAGACACTTCGAAAAGAGTTTGCGGTTGGCACGGATGATTGGCTTGAGCTGAGGCCAGTGACGCGGAGCGAACGCTTGAAGATGAACAAGGCCATGAGACTTTGCAGTACGACTATGCAAGCAGATGCCCCTAAAGCGCTGGTCGCGCAAGGACAGGATAGGCGCGCTAAGCTGCTCCGAGAGCCTGAGGTGGACAAGGCCAGTGACCATGGTGGGATGAAGATGTGGGAACAGATCGCCGAAGATCACGTCGCCGACCGACTTGCCAAGTCACCGGGGGGTGATGAGGTTATGGGTGCTGGCCCTTCGAAATTGGACGTGGAAAAAGCATCAATTCTCAAAGTCGGACAGATATGGAACAATCTGGCAAGCCACACCGCATCAGATGCCACCAGTGCAGACAATGACGCTTTCCCACCGAAATACAAGCCCGCCCCGGAGTATGCCATCGAGAGAGGTCATCTGCTCAGTGGCGAATCAGGAAGCACCAGCTTCTTTGAGGAGGACACGGGTGGGTTCTACAACGCTCCGAGCCGCATCGCGAGAGACCCGAGATTCCGCCCAACAGGAAAGGAAGGCTTCAAGTCAAAGTCAGAAGAGGATTGGAAGCATCGGTCTGATATGTACGGACGACGACGATTGTGAATGGAGAAGAGACAAAACATGGATGGATATCATCATGTCTGAAGGACGCCGCCGAGACGTGGAGGTGGTCTCTGGGATAAGGAACAATGTCCACGGTGTCTACACGGCAAACAGGTCCAAAGAAAGCTAGGGACCAAAGATGTACGGTAGTTTCATGGCTTCATCGTTGCCACGATGAGACAAACAAACTTGAACAGTGCGAGTTCCTTTTATTAATGGCCTGAATCTCCACGGTTCTGGTGTTGCTGATCGACCGTACGTTTACAGCGACGTACGCCAACCCCGAGACGCACTGCAGTATGAAAATGTGCCAGTGCCACAGTAATAATAATACGGTAATAGTGAGAGTCATGACATCGCCGAATTGGAGCGTTTCGTCCGCATTGCCAGTCAACTCAGGCAAAAGGCGGCTTCGTGTCAATATCCACACACATATTTGGCCACACGCCTCCGTCGCATGCTGACCGTCCTTCGTTAAGGTCAGCTCTCGCCTCTCGTTGCGACGACTCCAATCTACCCTCGAGGCGCATATTCTCAACAGCTTGAGCTCTCCAGCCATGGCGGCTCGATATTTGCGGCCAGGGCTGATACGCTCTTCAAAAGCTGCTTTCGAATGTGCCTCCCGCGCGCAACGCCGCCCGACCCAGTTCTCCAGACTCCCATCCACCACGAGATTACGTCCTCTGTTGTCGAGATCTTACGCTACCGTGAACCCGGGCGAGCCGAAACCACCGCGGGAAGATCCCGAGAAGCAGAAGAAGGAAGGTGACAAATCCTCAAAGCCTTCAAGTGAGGAATCAGGGAAGAGTCAAAATGAGGGGCCCAAGACAGAAGACTCGAGTAAACTCGAGTTCAGCCCGCTCACGGAGGAAGAGGTCCGGCAGATTGACGAGGTGGCCAAGATGATCAAGACCGGGCTGCCCCCATCGCAGGCTTCCGCCGTCGACGAAGCCGTCGAGCTGATGAAGAAAGGCGGGATTCCAAAAGAGCTGAGAGAAGTTCTGGAAGAGCGGCGGAGAAATCCAGACAAGCCGATTGATCTGGCCACGACCGTGCGCCTTGTGGGAGTGTTCACCAAACTCTCCCGCATGAGTCCCGAAGAGGTGCGGGAGAAGTATGGTCATGCAGCCCAGTCTACCAAATCCCATGAGTCTGGGAAGGGAGAGACTCCGCTTTTCGAGCAGTCGAACAAGAACAATGAGAAAGACAACGATCGACAGCAGAAGCAGCAGCAACAGCAACAAAACAAACAACAAGGAGATGGCCCCAAGGGTAAACCCACTGCTTTTGAGCTCCGACTGGACGCCGGCTCGACGATCATGGCAGCGATTCTCACATACTACATCTACCGCACTTTGTATCCTGGAGAAACATCAAGAGACATTACCTGGCAAGAGTTTAGGACCACATTCTTCGACAAAGGTCTTGTGGACAAGCTCACCGTCATCAACCGGAACCGGGTCAGAGTTGAGCTGAACAGAGACGCCGTTGCTCGCATGTACCCTGATTCGCCCGCTGCTCGTCCAAACTTCTACTACTACTTCACGATAGGTTCGGTGGAGGCATTTGAAAGACGGCTAGACGAGGCGCATCAAGAACTTGGCATCCCAAGCAATGAAAGGATACCGGTTGCTTACTCGGATGAGTTGCCCTTGAGTGCCGCTCTGTTCAATTTCGGCCCTACACTTTTGTTTATTGGTGCCTTGTTCTGGTTCTCGCGCCGGGCAGCATCAGGAGCAGGCGGCAACAGTGGCATCTTCGGGATTGGCAAATCTCGAGCCAAGAGGTTCAACCACGAAACCGACGTCAAGATCAAGTTCTCCGACGTTGCGGGCATGGACGAGGCAAAGGTTGAGATTATGGAGTTTGTGTCCTTCTTGAAAGATCCGTCCAAGTATCAACGTCTGGGCGCAAAGATCCCTCGAGGTGCTATCCTATCTGGTCCCCCCGGTACCGGTAAGACGTTGCTGGCCAAAGCAACCGCTGGCGAATCCGGAGTTCCCTTTTACTCGGTGTCAGGTTCCGAGTTCGTCGAGATGTTCGTCGGCGTGGGTCCATCCCGTGTTCGAGACTTGTTCGCCACTGCTCGGAAGAACGCTCCATGCATTATCTTCATCGACGAGATCGACGCCATTGGCAAATCGCGAGCGAAGCAGAATTTTGGTGGAGGCAATGACGAAAGAGAATCGACCCTCAATCAGATTCTTACCGAGATGGATGGCTTCAACACTTCGGAACAAGTGGTTGTTCTTGCAGGCACAAACAGACCTGATGTCCTTGACAAAGCGTTGATGCGACCGGGCCGGTTCGATAGACACATTGCTATTGACCGACCAACCATGGATGGCCGCAAGCAGATCTTTCAGGTTCACTTACGCAAGATTGTCACCAAGGTCGACATGGAATATCTGACCGGCCGTCTTGCCGCATTGACCCCTGGCTTCTCCGGCGCCGACATTGCCAACTGTGTCAATGAAGCCGCCTTGATCGCCGCCCGTGCCAATGCCACATCGGTGGAAATGACACATTTCGAACAGGCTATTGAACGTGTCATTGGCGGTCTGGAGAAGAAGTCGCTGGTTCTGTCACCTGAGGAAAAGAAGACGGTGGCATACCACGAAGCCGGCCATGCCATCTGTGGTTGGTTCTTCAAGTATGCCGACCCACTGCTGAAAGTGTCCATCATCCCAAGAGGACAAGGTGCCTTGGGGTATGCACAGTACTTGCCTGCAGGGGGTAATGACGTGTACTTGATGAGTGTCAAGCAACTTATGGATCGGATGGCCATGACCTTGGGTGGCCGTGTCAGCGAAGAGATCTGGTTTGACACGGTGACCAGTGGCGCCTCGGACGATTTCAACAAGGTGACCCGCATGGCTACTGCCATGGTGACGGAATGGGGCATGTCGCCGAAGATCGGTTATTTGCATTACAAGGACGATGAACAACGGTTGCACAAGCCGTTTTCTGAGGAAACGGCTCGACACATTGACGAGGAAGTCCGCCGGATTGTCGACGAGGCCTACAAGCAGTGCAAGGATTTGTTGTTGGAGAAAAAGGATCAGTTACAAGCCATTGCCGAGGAGTTGTTGAAGAAGGAAATGCTGGTCAGAGATGACCTGGTCAGAATCTTGGGGCCAAGGCCGTTTGAGGACCAGGGAGATTTCCACAAGTACTTTGACAACACCGAGGGTGGCAAGAGTGCACCGTAAGTACCAACAATACTGTAACACCGGTTGTAAAGAAGGAATACTGCTGACCTTTGTGTTCTAGCCCGCCACCGCCGACAGAAAATGATGGTCCTTCTGGAGGCATTCCGGAGAACCCGGCACCGGCATTCAAACGAATCGACCAATAGCCTAGCACTGTTGTTAACCAGTCTGGACCCCGGTTGATGCGCATGCTCATCGATCATAATCCAGGCCTGCATTTCCCACCGAAGGTTTTGGCATAGCCATATCCTGCAAATCTGATTGCATGGAGCACCGTCTCTCTGTTTCAACTCAACTCTTTGGTTGCATAGCGCGGCGGTCGTTGCTTTTTGTCATGTTGGGTTGGCGCATCAGTCCTGGGAGACGAGGGAATCAAGAAGAAAAAAAGATAAACAAGAAATACCGGGGCCTATGACCACGTTTTGCTTCTTGAAGCTTTCGACCCCAACAACATCTCAACTCTGTACCATCACATCGAGAAACCACAGAAACAAACTGAAAATATTCGCCGGACGGTAATGGTTGTATCGGCCGACCGAGGCGCGCTTATCATATTATCTTCTCTAATAAGAGAAAGTGGGAGAGGGGAGGGGGAGGCACGACGGAACGGGGCAGAGCGAGGCAAAAGCAGAAAAGGGGAACGATTCTAACACCGCCTCATCTCTGTAGGAGTGAGTGGTGGATGTTATCTGTCTTGATGTCTCAACCTTTCCTTCCGCACGGACAATACCTTTGCACAATGTCTATCCTACCCTACCTACTTGTATATACCTAGTCATCCTACGCGCCGAGGCGGAGCGAAGGACCTAGGTTCTGATATGTACAGCTGTACAGATGTCTGTATGTGTATATGTATGTATATACCGCAGCCCACAGTGAGCCCAGCCTCGACTCTGAGACTCACCTTCTCTCCTCTTTATCTCCCCCGGGTCTCTTCCCAGTGATAGGCGAATCAGTAGACCAGTGCCAGTACTACCAGGTGTATAAGAGTGACCGAGGACAGTCTAGGAACACAACGATACCGCTTGCCTGCCTGCACCAACTTACTCCAACAAAGATGAGCAACCAGACTTTTTCTGTTATTGTTTCCTTGTAGACATTGGAAAAAGAGTTTGGAAGGAGTGGAGAAAAACAACGAAAGTTAACCCGTATCTAAAACACTACAAACCAGGCTACCCAAGGTAGATGGGTATCCGTTAACCACCACCACCACCCATACACAGTATACCACCGGTAGATGCAGTATCCACATACCGCAAATCCAGTATCCAGATCCTACACTCAAGCCACAGCAACAGCCTCCACATTCTCTCTACTCTTGTCCTTGACCTCCTCCTCCTTCTCCTTCAACTCCTTGACCTTCGCCTCATGTACCTTCTTCGCATCAATATCCACCGCCTTCATCCATTCCGGATCCAACATCTCCACATTCAAATACGGCGAAACATCCTTCTTCTCCACCAGGGCCGGCACAGTCCCCATGCCCAAATAAGCCCACATATTCTTCTTCGCCGGTCCTAGATAAGAGATCTCAAAATCCTCATACCTAGGCTGTCTGATCGCCTCGATATAATGCAGCGAAGACCCCGGCCAAACGGCATTCACCCTCCCCGTTTCATTATTCTTATACCAAGATCGACACTCGTCCACCCAAACGGTATGTCGGACCCATTCCTGACAATGTTCATTAAAAGCATCAGTGACATCTTGCTTGGGGGCAATGCTCCGAATATATTCCGTTTGAATCTTTTTGATCATCTGCATCGCATATTGCGATACATAATACAACGGTCCCATGACACTGCCGTTCTCAACAGGCCAGTTGGGACCGATGAAGGTCAAAAAGTTGGGGAAGCCTGGAATTGCAAGCCCTAAATATCCTTCGGGACAGACTTTCCATTTGTCCGCCAGATCGATTCCGTTTTGGCCCACGATGGGGAATCGCGGTTTGTAAGAGACGTCGAAGCCCGTGGCGCAGATGATGGTGTCGACTTCTCGATGAACTCCGTCGGCGCCGATCACGCCTGTTTTGTCGATGCGCGTGACGGGGGTGAAGTGCACGGAGACATTTGGTTTTTGAATTGCCCTAATGACACAAGAATTAGTTGTTGTCACCGTGTGAAACAGGTAAAGACTATAGACGCAAAAAGTAAACTTTTTACTTACTCAATATACGGATCTCCAGGAGTGATCCGACGACAGCCAATACCCCATGTCGGAGTGAACCCTTTCAACAACCTTTCATCTTTGATCATTTCAGACATGCGTTTCTTGAGAGCGGCCTGGCCTTCAGCTTGGGCTTTGGAGTTTTTGTAAAACGATCCCCAGAGGCCGTTGACTTGGTCTTCGATCGATTTGGCGTGTTCGACGATCTTGTAGGGGTCGCGGAACTCTTGTTTTTGCTCGTCGGTGTATTCGTGGTTGGCGCCAAAGTTGTTGGCGATCTGGACGAACCAGACTCCTAGAAGAACAGTGTCAGTGTCAATGATCAATGATCGAACAACATCGGAAACAATAGGCAGGCCAGTGCCGGAGGTCTGTACGTACCTGTCCTGACAAAAACATCAATATGCTTCGCATGAGGCTGCATCGTCGGCACCGTCTGAATACTAGAAGCCTGCGAACCGAACACAGTCAGTGACCACACCTCTCCCTCTCCCTCTCCCTCTTCAACCTTGGTATATTTGTCACTCACCCCCAGATCCAATCACAGCAACCCTATCCTTCTTCCACTCCTCAGCCTGATACTCCTTCGGCCACCTCGCAGTATGAATGATCCTGCCCTTGAATTTATCCATACCCTCGATATCCGGCCACTTGAAATTATTCAGAATCCCAGTGCCATGCAGCAGAACATGACACCGATCCTCGAACAATCGCACAGTGCTCCCATCCTTGGGGTTTGTTTCTTTCAGTTTGACCAGCCACTCGCCGGTTTCTTCTTGCCAGTAACAGCCGATCACTTCGGTATTGAAGACCATGTATTTCCGCAGATCGAATACTTCACATACTTTGTCGAGGTATTTCCAGATGTCGGGGGAGTAGGAGAAGAAGCGTGGCCAGTCGGGCTGAACGAACACCAAAGTAAGTATTAAACCCTTGATCCACAAACCCAATCCCAAGTTCCCAACTCTACTTCTCCCCTCGAGGAAGTCGGGAGTCCGGTCAAACTTACATTCAAGGCAAATGGATACGTGTATGCGTGACTGGGAATGTCGCATGCACAGCCTAATCATGCCAATGAGTCAGTCAGTCAGTCAGTCAGTCAGTCACACAATTGAAGACCCAGACGAGTGGTAAAGAGCAGAGGGAGACCCATATTGCATGGCTGCCACCAAACAAGACAAGACCCAAACAAGTGATGGAGAAGACCCAAGGGCCGCATTGCAAACGCCTGCCTGTTGTACCGTCACTTACCCGGATACCTATTCTCCAACCACGTCCCACCAATATCCTCGTTCTTTTCATAAACGACATGCTCCACGTTCTCCAGATACTTTTGGATATGATACGCATTCATGATCCCGCTGACTCCCGCACCGATCGAGAGCACACGGATCTTTCGTGTGTACGGCCCATGGAGGACAATGTCTGCCAAACCTGATGTTAGCAAATCAATTCTCCTATACCAAACGACTCAAAGTGAAACGGATTCCCTCCCGTGAAACTCGACATCTGAAAGTCTGGCTGGGAAGTGTTTAGGCACTATCAATCCAGCAGCAACAGTATAGTTGCCTCCCTGTCAAAGGCTGGGTAGGCTCGGCTCATTATACTTCCTCAAAGTGGTACTGTGGTACATTACATCGTGCCAACGAGTCGGTGAAGATAATGGGTTCCTGGCCATAGGATCCAGACAACAGACGGAGTGTGTGTAACTCTCTTTGTACGACCGCACGTCAGGGACGGGGGTTCCTAGACAGCAGCTGCCTGGCCGGTGGACCTGTACCGGCGAGAGACACCTAGGTTTGCTGGAGCGCGTTCATGCTGTACAGATAGGAAAGATAACAAGAAGATGATCGAAACTCACCCGGGATCTCATAGTCACTACGAGGAACCCCATTGTTAGCATAGCCGTCAGTGGACCAGTTTAGCTGGTTGATGTCTGGTGCCATGGTGAATCACGTATAGGATCTGTCAATGAGGGGAGGACGTGAAAGCAGTGTGCTCAAAATCAGTGCAGAACTGAACTTGAAACCGTGAAATAAAGTAGGAAACCTTGGGCTTTATATTTATACAACAACTCGCTTGACATCCCTTCGGCTATCACGACTAGGTCGACTCAGCCTCCAAACCGCCAGGCACCTCTGCACAAAAAAAGAAGCACCACAGTAACGCCGAAGAAGGGTACTGATGCCTAGCGGTCGTAGTCAATCGCTTGTGCAATGCTCCATAACCGTTCGGTAACCCCATAAGACCCTACAGTCCCAGGTCTTGATAAACGCCACAACACGGAACAACCGAAATGATTTGACAACGAGAACTGACGGCGGACAAGAACAGCATCAGCACTACCCTGAATACACCATGTTGAAGCGGGGGCGTTGGCTCGGACCGCTTACAACAAGGACAGGCGATGTCAGACCGGTGGAGATGCGGGGAACCGTCGAGGCTGAGACCCTCTTGATGTCCGTTCGACTGGGGTTCGAGCATCCACCCGAGGCACTCCGCCTGCGTCCAATGCGTGTTTCAGTCGACCACCACGGACACAGTGCATCCTGTCTGATGTGAGACTCATCTGACCGAGGTTGAAAGTCGGGTAGTTGCCTGGATTCATGAGGAAACGATCATCGTTGTGACCTAACCGACCTATCCACCAGACTCTGACTCAGGATCAATACGTGGCGTGGAGAGGCAAATCTCTCGAGCTACGGCCGACTTCGAGTGTGAACAATCCTTCCGGCATAACCCAGTTCTGCTGCACAACGGACCAGTAGCTCAGGTCTTTCCTGGTCAGAGTGAGATTGACCAGTTGGTCAGCGCCGGCATCAAGCTCAATCTTGGTAAAGTTGCGCAGAACTCTCACAGGTGTATCGATAATTTCGCCGGTTGCCGGCTCGCGTAGTGACGGCGGTAATGACACATACAGTTGAACAACCATTTTTCCTTTACGGTTGCCGGTATTGGCGACGCGCACTTGGACATTAACCTGTTCTTCAAACAAGGCCGGATGGCCGCCTTCACCACCGCCAGCGCCGCTCGGCTCCTGGTGAACGTTATAGCCGTCCGGATATGGATATTTCCCTTCCTTGACCTGATTCGCAGTGGATATGTAAGGGTAGACATATTTGCGAAGCTTCGAGAAGCCTGCTGGAAGAAGGGCATCCTCAACAGGAGGTATAGTCTCATCAAAGCTCGGCGGTGTCAACAACTGAGGTCTAGCTGGAGGCAATGGGGACTTCGGTTTTAAGCCGGTAACAGTCAAATCTGAGAACTCGAACGTGGTAAACGATAAGCCGTGGCCAAAAGGATATCGCGGTTCGATGCCATGCTTGTCAAAATGTCGGTAGTCAATATACAGACCTTCGTTGAAGTCAACTTGTGGTATGATGGCGTTCGGATAGTACAGAACTGGAGCCCCAGGGCCATAGTCCTTGAGACTTCTCCCTAGAGTGTATGGCAATCTTCCAGAGGCGTCTGTCCTACCGAATAGGACATCTGCAAGCGCGTTTCCGCTCTCTTGACCCGGGAGATTCGCGAAGATGATGGCTTTGACGGATTCCATGTCAGCAAATTCCTCAATAATGACTGGGCCGACTGAATGAATGACCACCACAACGGGTCCACCGCATTCCTCAGCAACAGTGCGAATGAGCCGAGTTCCTCCTTTTTGGATCTCAAGATTATTGCGGTCAGCCCGCTGACCCTGCCAGATGTGGTAACCTTCACCAGAGTCGGCATTGCCGAAGACCAAGCACAGGTCTTGCTCCCTAAGCTTGTTCTTGAGGGAGGAAGAGACACTGTTGCTCAGAAAACTCGAGATCTCGACCGTCGACGGGTCAAAACTCGAGTTCAATGCTGAAAGTGGATCTACCAGATAAGTAAACTCGGTTGAACCTGAGCCCCAACCTACTGCAAGAGTGCCCTGGTTGCACCCGCGGTCCTCACAATAGTTCGGACCTTTGCCAGGGCCTGCGTCTTCACCGACCACAGCGACCCGCTTCCGCAGGCCACTTTCCAACTCGGGGAGCGAGGGACTCAGGGGTAAAATGGAACCAGAGTTCTTCAAGAGGACAATGCCTTCACTCGCAACCTGGCGAGCAACGGTGCGGCTGTCATCGTCCTCTGCCTCGACGAACTGATTGACCACAACTTTATCCTGTTTGCTCGTGCTGCCATGATGCAGATAGCCGTATTCTTCATTACTCCAGGAAGAAAAGTTCGGACCGTCCGACGTCCAGGCATCCTGACCCAACTGATACCAGGCGGCAACAACACGTGTGACCATGTCATTTAGCCGGCTCATAGGGATTGACCCGTTGAGGACCGCAACAGTAAGTTGCTCCCCAAACAGTGATTTGCCGTCCATCCAGAACAAGCCATCTCCAGGCATGGACATGTCGAGACCTGCAAGGGCACTGGCAACACCACTGCGTTGTGCCAACCAGTCAGATTGAACAAAGCCTTGGAAACCAAGTTCATCCTTGAGGATGCCATTCATCAGTTTGCTATTGCCACAGGCATACGAATTGTTCACCATCTGGTAGGAGCACATGACGCTGGCTACACCAGCTCTAACGCTTTCCGCAAAAGGCCAGGCGTATATCTCATGTAGAGTTCTGTCATCAATGTTGGAGGACAGCGACTCCGGTAGACCCCACTCCAAGGGCCTTCTGAAATGTTCCTGTTCATTACCGACCCAATGTTTTGCAGTGGCCATGACGCCCTGGGATTGGATACCTTGTATGGTCTCGTAAGCAGCTACTCCTTGAAGAACCGGGTCACTCCCGAAACCCTCCCAGACTCTCCCACCAGCGGGATTGCGTCCGAGTGGTCCCATGGCCGGCCCCAGAAGCACGTTGACCCCCTTCAGCTTAGCCTGGCGTGCATGTGCAACACCTCGTCTGCGCATAAGCTCCCGGTTCCATGTTGCACCTACCGTAATGCCTGCAGCGAAGGACGTGATATGATCAGCAAAACGAATTCCCAAAGGGCCGTCCTGGAGACAAAGCCCTGGAAAGCCCACGTGCACTGCAGGGGCCGTGTTCCCCACGCATAAGTCCATGGCCCATCCCGTGCCAGTGGTGATGTTGACCTTTTCCACGAGCGTCATCTTCTCCACCAGCTTCTGAGCCTTGCTGTAGCTCTGCTGCCAGGATGGCAAAGTGCCTCCCTGTGGCGTGGGATACCATGGCGGCGACTGACCATTGTGTTGAGCAGTGGTGTATATCCAATATCCACCACCGCCTATTGCAGAAGCAAAGATTGCTAGAATCAGGACAGAAAAAGCGATGTAGGTCTTGGTGAGGCGGCGGCCAACACAGATGCGGCGGCCGACCGAGTCGAGGTACCTGAAGGCTTTTCCTGGAGCAACGTCGCCATTTCCCAACAGACGGTCTTGGTCTAAACGGACGGGTGAAAGGGGAGGGACAGCCTTGGGATTTGCATCCGAAAGATCTCCGTCGTCTAGATCAGATGCGGCTTCTTGCAAAGGCTGGTAACGCGAATGCGAGGACGACATGGTTTGAGGCCTTCAAGGCTTCGGAACCGAACGAGTGGGTTGATGTTGGACTCGCAGGGACCAATCAGTCCGCGACCGACAAGTCGGTGCCCGCGACTAGGGAGTTTTAGGAGATGGTGAGCGTGGCCCCGGGGGGTAAAAAGCTCGACGCTTCAAGTTGTCCAGGTCCCCGTAAAAGATCCAACGCTCGGAGCGCGGGTAGCCGCTCGTGACCGAGGCAGTCGGAGCTCAATCGGCGGAAACGACAGCAGAGGTCAGCCAAGGCCCGCGGGAGGTTTGGAAGGTTGTCGAGCTGCTAGCTAACATAGGAATAGGAGGTGGAGAGCCGAGCGAGAGAGGAGAGTTTCTATAGGTCTGACGGGAAGCTTTAGGATTGTAGGTGCGTGTCGAAGGGAAGAGAAGTCGTAGGAGGAAGAGGATGTTGGATGAAACGAGGTCGAGTTGGGATGTAGACAGAGTAGTGAATACCTAGGTACGGTAGTCGTCGTAGCAGTAGCGACTGCGCCTGGGGCACCCGGAGAACCCTTGCAGCAGCAGTAACAGCAGCATTCACAGTAGTTACTCTTGTTAATCGTCCTCAGCCTGCGCAGGCCACAACTTGAACCCGACCAGACACCGACAGACACCAGCTGCGAAAAGAGGATTCACTATATTGCACTCCGACTCTTCCACACCTTTTCTTTCTTCCTTCTCTCTCTTCACTGCCATTCCTGCTCGAATCTCCTCTCCTTATCTGGTCCTTCTGGTTGTGTCGCCGACTAGAGTCTGATCGGGTGGTGCTGTGCTCTGCCCTCTACTCTCCGTCCCCACCCCTCCATCCAGAAAGAAATCTCCAGGTCCTACGGCCGTCACACCTCTTCCCCCTCCGAACCATGCTCGCATCTTCTGCATTCAAGCGACTGCCCGTGCGAAGGTTGGCTGCTGGTGCTTCGGCTGTACGATCCTCGTCCTCCGCGATCCGCCAGCCCTCCAGCTTCGCTCCTGTCCCCTCGAAGCTTTCCCGAGGTGCGCCCGCCATGGCGTCCAACTTCTCGACCTCGTCCACCAAATACTCGATGCCCTCCAAGGCACCGACCGCGGCCTACGATCCCGAGATTCTCGACATTGCCAACTATGTCCACAACTACAAGATTAACTCTGACCTGGCTTTGGACACCTCTCGCTACATCCTGCTCGACACTATCGGCTGCGGACTCGAAGCTCTTCGATTCCCGCAATGCACCGCTCTCCTTGGCCCTACCGTGGAGGGTATGACGGTGCCCAACGGCAGCCGAGTTCCCGGAACGCCGTACCAGCTCGATCCAGTGAATGGAGCTTTCAATATTGGGGCCATGATCCGATGGCTGGACTACAACGACTGCTGGTTGGCCGCAGAATGGGGACACCCCTCGGACAACCTGGGCGCAATCCTGGCCGTGGCGGACTGGATTGCAAGAACCAACAAGGCCGGCGGCAACGTCGGTAACGGCAAGATCCCCACCGTGCGGGACGTATTGGAGGCCATGATCAAGGCCCACGAGATTCAGGGTTGTCTGGCTCTGGAGAACTCGTTCAACAAGGTCGGCCTTGACCACGTTCTGCTCGTCAAGGTTGCATCCGCCGCCGTTGTGAGCAAACTCCTTGGTCTCGATGAGCACCAAACCGCTGCCGCCATCTCCCAGGCGTTTGTGGACGGTCAGGCTCTGCGAACCTACCGGCATTCCCCCAACACAATGTCCCGCAAATCGTGGGCTGCCGGTGACGCCTGCCAGAGAGCTGTGAACCTTGCCTTCAAAGTGAAACAGGGCCAGTCTGGTATCCCGACCGTGCTTTCTGCTCCGGTCTGGGGCTTCTACGATGTCCTCTTCAAGGGCGAGAAATTCAAGTTCCAGCGTCCTTATGGCTCCTACGTCATGGAGAACGTCTTGTTCAAGGTTTCATACCCGGCTGAGTTCCACTCTCAGACTGCGGTCGAAGCGGCCCAGAAGATCTACAAGATCCTCGCAGACATGGGTAAATCGGCCAAGGATATCAAGGAGGTCACCAACCGCACCCACGAAGCATGCATCCGTATCATCGACAAGCAGTTCAAGCCCATGGACAACTTTGCTGATCGCGACCACTGCGTCCAGTACATGGTGGCTGTCATGTTGACCTTCAACCGCCTTGAGGCCACCGACTACCTCGATGGCAGTGAGGCCGCCACTTCTCCCTTGGTGGAGGATCTGCGCAAGAGAATCAAGTGTGTCGAGGATCCTCAGTTCACCAAGGACTACCATGACCCCAACCTGAGAACCATCTCCAATGCTTTGACCGTAACCCTCAATGACGGAACTGTCCTGCCGGAAGTGGTTGTTGAGGCGCCGCTCGGCCATCGCCTCCGACGTGACGAGGCCAAGCCGGAGATCCTCAAGAAATACAAGAGACATTTGGGCCCTCACTTCCCTGAGGCCAAGATCAACGAGCTGGTCGCTCTGGGCACTGACGCGTCCAAACTTGACAACATGGAAATTGACAAGTACGTTGACCTGTATGTGAAGGAGAAAATGGAGTGGTAGGCAACAGAAAACTTGTTTTGTCTGCCGCCTGAAGGGATTTACAAAAGCGAAGCCGTTTAGCTTGGATGTAAGTACATATCTAGGAGAGCTGAAGATACCTATATAGACCCAAAACCATCTATGAAAGCAATGTTGAGCGTCCTGTGCATTTAGAAAAGAATTGCCTGAGGAATCCCTAGTTCAAGTATTCCCTGTGTCATGACATTAGCTGACTTACCCAAAGTCCCTCAACTCTCCCTTGGGCAAGACCTTCTCATGGGCGCCTCTTCCGGCCCATTCTTTCTTCCATGCCCACGCTCCGTCCTTTTCGGGGCCATTCGATTTGCCAGCAAGGACATTGACAACATACTTCCCTATGTTCGGCAGAAACTTCCAACTGTGGAACGAGCCCGCTGTAGCAAAGTACAGGTTCGACAACCGCGGGTCAGGGTGTCTCGCGATGAGCTGGTTCTGGTCCGGTGAGATGGCGTCCCAGCAAATACGCCAATCATCAGGCATGCGGCCATCGGCCAGTATTTGTGGGATACGCTGACGGATGATGTCGATCGACTGCCGCTTCAGAGCCTCGGGCACGGTCTTTTGCTCGGGCAACGGGACAGACACCAGTGCACCGGTTTGTGGGTGAGGTTGGGAATTGAGAAACGTGTTTGCATTTGTGAACTTCAGAAACCGGTCCTTGTTAGGAGGGATAACCTCTCCTTTTGCGCCGTAGACCAAAACGGGCATCTGGGAGTAATGCCATGCTTCATCCTCTGACAGCCTGAACGAGGCGACACACACCCCTGCCGCTTGGATTTGTTTCTGAATGCTATCCTCGTATGATATCTTCAGCTGCTTCTCCAGCGGTGCCATCAGCCAAGGCGTCCATGCACCTGTTGCCAGAACGATCTTTTTGCCGCAGAAGGTCCTGCCATCAGCAGTGCGGACGCCTGTAACCCTACCACCTCCACCACCGCGGCCGGCGCCGCCGGTGCCATCATCCTGTTCATAAAGTAACTCGACGATCTCGCCTACCTCGTATTTCACACCGGCTGTGATCGCTTCTTTCATCATTGCTTCCACGGCCGCCGATGCGTCAGCCCACCCAGCACTAGAATTAGTATAGGCCTTGCCGTACCCAGCCGTATCTATACCAGACAACACACCGCCCCAACTTGAATCAGCCTTGACTTGTTCAAGCGTGATATCCGCCGATGTGTCTGGCCGCCCGCTCTCGCGGAAGTTTCGACGAATGCGGTCGGCCAGGTCGCTTTCTTGTTCATCCAGCATCACCCACCCCGTCTGGTGGAAGTAGGGACTCAACAGCGGATTGTGTATCCAGGATTCCATGGCTTCGTACGCCAAGTTCATGTAGAATGTCTTGCTGTAGTCCGCCCGTACGATTTTGTTGATGTCCGATGATGCAGCGTCCGGGCTGGGCGCCTGAGCGCGATCGAGCACCGTGATTTTTGAGGCATAGTCACGATTCCTGTCAAGCGAGAGGTGATACGCGGTGCTGGTTCCGAATATACCGGCTCCGAGAATCAAGACGTCGCATTCAAGGATCGAATCGCTGTCGCCTGCTGAGCCCATAGTAGGGCGCCCTACTCGCTTCTAGGCGGCTTCGCGAGTCGCAGCCGACCACACCATGGAACGAGATCGCCGGCGACTGACGACCGACAGAAAATGGGATACGAAGACGGTGACAATTGCAAGTACAACTTCGAAGATGGATTCCTCGTCGCGCTGCAGTGATGCTGGGCGGTAAGTACTGGTAAGCACGTTTCAAGTTCCAAGTTCCCCGGGATCCAATTTCACTGATTTTCTGGGGGACTCGTAAAATAGCGGCCCCCGCGGGGGGATGATTGCCATTGAGGGCTTCCAGCCTTCAAGCTTCAAGCTTCTATGGCTTCAATCCAAGGCAAATCAGGTCCTTCAGGGCGTCAGCTTATACCCACTAGCCGGCACATCATTCACACTACTTACTATGAGCTGGCCTGTGTATGCTTTCCCCTCATCCTGGCCTGATCTTACAACACTCTTGCAGGAGCCTCGGCATCTGCCAGACTCAACGATGTTCTCTGGGTTCTGTTTGGCTAGAGTCCAGTGTCGGTGGGATATGGATACCTCGAGTGCCGGTTGATCGACCGGCCTTGCAATGTACATACATCCACTGGCCATAGCCATATCCGTTCCTGTGTCTTTCTGTGCGTGGCCAAACGGTTTCTCTCTCTTGAAGAGTTTATTGCAGAGAGAGGCTCTCCGCAGAGAAACCGTGTTGGAAGGAAACATTGTGGTAGCCACGCCTTAAGCCCTACTTCTGGCAACAATGGCTCTTGGTATGGCACTGCAACAGCAATCCTCAATCCTCCTCGGACTTCCTGCTGACATAGACCCAATCTAGCGACTACTGCGGCCGTGGCTGCCGGCAGCTTAGCCGTCGCATCCTACCTTGATGGAAAGTACCATATCCGCAAGGACCTCGGGACGCTGGCCCGAATGCAAAGAGGCAAGAGAGAATACGGCCGAGTGGTAAAAGAGGACAAAGTCAGTCTATGGTATGTGCTGGAAGCCCAGTGCAAAGCTCGATGGAACCAGCCGGCCATCTGGTCACGAGAAGGAACGTACACCTACGGCGAAATGTACGAGGAATCCGTCCGGTACGCCCAGTACATGCTGCAAGAGGGCATCAAGCCAGGGGAATTGGTAGGGATGTACCTCATCAACTCGCCGCGGTTCATGTTCGTCTGGTGGGCATGTCTGGCCGTCGGGGCGGCTCCAGCTTTCCTCAATTACAACCTTGAAGGCAAGGCCTTGATCCACTGCTTGGAAGTGTGCGAGACGAGATTGATAATCGTGGACGAGGACCCGGGTTGTCAACAGAGAATCAACTCCAGTCGTGAACATATCGAAGCCCGGGGCACCAAGATTGCCGTCCTTGATGACGCCCTGAAACAGAAAATCTCGTCCATGCCGACGATCAGACCGGGCGACGAATGTAGGAATGGGACAAAGGGCAGTTTTCCCTACTGTTTGATTTACACCAGGTCAGTGACGCTGTTTCAGAGGTCAGGCGAGATGTTAACGTACGTGTACTATAGCGGAACAACAGGTCTCCCCAAAGGCTGCGCGTTCACTCTCCAAAGAGTCTATTCCATCTGTGGGCACGACACACCATCTTTCGGCTCCGTCCCCGGCGACGACAGATGGTACAACGCCATGCCATTGTACCACGGAACCGGCGCCATTACCACCTCGTGCAACCTATTACAAGGCGTTTCTGTAGCCATCGCACCGCGGTTCTCAGTATCACGCTTCTGGAACGACATTCACGACTCCAACTCATCCTATTTCATCTATGTCGGCGAGACGGCGCGGTACTTGCTCAACGCACCGCCTCACCCATTAGAACGGAAACACCGTCTCCGCCTCGCATACGGCAACGGCTTGCGCCCGGACGTATGGGAGAAGTTTCAAACGCGATTCAACATCCCCGAGATTGGCGAATTCTTCAACTCGACCGAAGGCATGTTTTCCCTCGTTGTCCACGACAGAGGTCCATTTTTAAGAGCTTGTGTCGGGCACCACGGACTCCTCTTTCGCGCCCTCCTGCACAACGTGTATATCCCCGTCAAAATCGACCATGAAACAGGAGATATCTGGCGCGACCCAAAAACGGGATTCGCTCAAAGAGTTCCATATGAAGTCGGCGGTGAAATGCTCGTTGCTGTGCCCAACAAGGATGCCTTCCAGGGATACTGGCGGTCCCAAGCGGCGACAGATAAGAAATTCTCCACAAACGTGTTCAAAAAAGGCGATATTTATTATCGGTCTGGTGATGCTCTAAGGCGCGACCGTGATGGAAGATGGTATTTCCTCGATCGACTGGGTGACACCTTTCGCTGGAAATCCGAGAACGTCTCGACTGCCGAGGTGGCGCTGACGATGGGCCAGTTTCCCGGTATTGCGGAGGTCAATGTCTATGGTGTGCTTGTGCCGAATCATGAAGGAAGGGCTGGTTGTGCGGCCGTCCATCTTGATCCGAATCATACCGGGACCCCGGTCGATTATGATGAATTGTTAAGGTATACGAGGGCCCGGCTGCCGAGATACGCTGTGCCGGTTTTTCTGCGGATTGTGAAGGCGAGTACCCATATTCATAATCATAAGCAGAATAAAGTCCCGCTGAGGAATGAGGGCGTCGATCCAAAGAGAGTTGGTACGGAGGTTCCGGACGGGAAGGATGATGTTTTCTACTGGTTGCCGCCGAAGGGGGATCGGTATGTCCCGTTCACACGGGAGGATTGGGAGAGTTTGGTGGCTGGGAAGGCTAGATTATAAGATAGGACCAGGACAGAGACAGAAGACGAGACCGAGTTAGCAGCATAGCACTATATAAAAGACAGATTTCTGGGACTGGATAGCAACCTAGGTATACAGTTGAAAATGCCTGTACCGATGCAAGTACAGGCCATTGGACAAGAAAGCATCGTGATGAGAATTTGGGTTTCGTCCCTCGATTTACATTATTGGATATCTAGAAAAGTCATGCCGTAGCAATCCGAGACGACCTAAAATAAGGTAGGTATGGAGTCGAGTCTTGTAAGATTCATTATTCAATATCCATAAGGGAATCCTGATCATATGCAAAAAAGCAGAACAGGCCAATCCAATACCCCCTGTCATGCCATGCAATGCCTGCTAGTATAAAAGCCAGGTCTTCCTGTCTCTGAGGAGACGAAAGAAAGGCATTGCAATGTAGGTATGCAATGCAATAATATCAAAACGTGAGCCTCAAGTGGTCACTCTTCCGCCCCATGTGTCATTAATGCATGACTCCTTCCATCCCATCGCAATAATGGTCGTTTTGTGTGATGTTGGATCCTTTCCTCCCACTGGAGTATCATGCGCATTTTCATAACCAATGTCATTCCCCATTTCCCATTCCAAATCACAAGATGAAGACCCAGAAAGTGAACTGGACTGTCCGTCCCCTGGCGGTAACGCTACCTCGAGGGACCTCTCAGAGGCCTTGAAAAGAAAAGACCATTGGCAGTGTAGTGTCGGCCCTAGTTCTCCTCCCCTCCTATCGTGACAGGAGATAATCCCGAGTACCCTTCCAAAATCCCTGCAATGGTTGCTCATGGTATTATCGTTGTAGTCGTGGGCCCTTTAACCATTCTTGCCCTGATGATAGTGGGCAATAAACTGAGCACCTCGAATTTCTCCAATCATAGACTCTCCAATATGATCACACCCATCAGTCGCTCGCTCGTTCGGGACCGGCATCGAGTCGTGTCTGGATTGTGAACAAAGACATGCTGTACATAGTACGAGCGTAATAGAATTGCTGCAAAACTAATGACGGTCTTGGTGTGTCTGGGTCGTGTAGCGACCATATGTGTGATGTTTCTTCTGATTGTGGCTCATCTCATTTGTAGGACCACAATCTCGCAGACTCCAGTAGAGCATCATTCTCCTTCTTGACGCGCTCCTGGTAATCGTTTAGTGAAGCTTGGCTGTCGTCGCTGGTCAAGGCGGTTTCGACGGTATTGGCAGTGTAAACCGAAGATTTGGTCGAGGCCGTGCTCGTCATGCCCATGCCATATGCTCCACCAATATACCCTCTTTCAAAAGCCAAAGGTTTGAGGACCGAGGCATCGTATCGTTCAATGAAGACTTTGTCTAGTTCCCGGTCTTTCGGGGTCGAATATCGCTCGTACTCCTCAATACAAGCTTCAAGCGTCCAGCCCGTGACTTTGCGGAATGCCGCACAGATTGTTCCGCTGCGGTGTTTGCCTTTGTTGCAATGAACGAGCATTGGGTAGTTGGCCGGGTCTAGCATCAGCTTCACCACTTGGTTGACGGTTTCGTCTGAAGAGTACACGTCCGGCTTCTTGTTGGCCAATATCGGAATGTGGTGGTGGATGATGCCGTTGGATGAAATAAAATTCTCGTATTCGAATGGTAAAGGTTCCGGCACCAGTGTTACAATGGTCTTGAGCTCGAGATCCGCAAGCGTCTCGAAATGGGCGAAGAGCGGGTAGCTGGATCGATAGAGTCCAGGAGCAATGACTTGGAAGTTGACTGGTCGTCCAGAGCCATCTGGAGTGGGAGGTTGAGATTTGTCGAGATCAATGGTTGCAGAGCTGTTTGTACTCCGCAAAGCGGCAAGAGTAGCAGCAAATTCGTCAGATTCGGCCCACTTATTAGGCATTTCGGGACGTCGAATACCCATTTTCGAATTGAACAAGGCAACGATTGAAGTATGAAGTAGCTCGTAGCTTGTGAAAGTAGCTCGTAGCTTGTGACCGACTGGGGATTCGTGGAGGAAGGTTTCCAGTGGTGTATGTGTATTGTTTTGTAAGGTTGATTAGGAATTCGTATGTAGTTTTTGTTCAGCTCCTGAATCGAGTCTTGAATTGGTAATTGAAATTAGGTGTCGATGCAATAAAAAGTGTGGTGATTGAAAGATTCGTGATGTTTGACGATTGGAAGAAGGCTCTTGTGTGAAAGGTTTGTCTCGATAGCAAAGGAGGCCGGACGGGGAGCTCAGATATATCCTCCCGACAGGCAAAAAGGACACCTTCTCTTCAAGAGGACCTCGACCCGAGAGACTGGTAGAGTTCTGGCCGTAACGCGACTAAAGCGACATCTTTGCTGGTTGGCGTGATAGTGTGCCCGCTGATCTGCTGGAACAACACGGTTCGCGTGAGCGAATTCACTTAGACCAGCACGACGATGTGAATGCCCCCAAATTCAATGAGGTGACAAAGTCGGGGAACAGCGAGACGGTAGAAAATCGAGGATTCGGTGTTGCAGAGGGGTGAGACAGCTATCTCTCCCTGAAACCATTGTTACAGGATTGAAGAGTAAGAGGATGCATCGCGGTGTTGCCGTCCCGGGGGTTTTGCGTGGAGGGCCCGACAGAGGGTAAGACTTCAATCGAGGTACACGAGGTAGTCATGATGGGAAGGTAGAAGGAAAAGGTAGTTGTAGATAAGAATGTGGACTTGGATGACTAGAGGATAGGCCGGGGAATGAGAGTGGTCTGCCTGCGGACGAGGTTCGGTAGGTTTCGAGGTGTTTTGACACTTTGTGTGGTTTGGCGGCTTAATTTGGGTGCAGAGTGTGGATTGTGGATTTTGGTGTCGAGGCGAACAGCGGAAGCGAAGGAAGCGAGGGACACGAGGGAAATGAAAGGCGGAGAGAAGGGTTCGACCTGCAGCTTTTGGTGGAGCGCAGACAGGCACGTGCCTGTGCTGCCGACTGCACTTTACGCTTGACGCGCCAGACGACGGCGCTAACCTTAAGGGTAATTCTCTACCTCCGGTTAACCCCGGCTGACTAAGATTTCGTTCCCGCGTGCTGGGTCAAACGCAACACGAGACTTTGAAGAAAGTTGCGAACAGGTCTAGTGTATCGTTGAAGATAGAGTCCGAGTCTATTTATGATGACTCTAAGTCTATGTTATGCAGGATTGAACGCTCGTCAACTAGGAAGATCTGCCCTCTCCTAGGCCGTTACACCCAGCCCAAACATCTCCGTGGTATTTTTCCACGCCGCGGCACACACCTCCTCCACCGTCACTCCCTTCACTTTGGCAATGACATGGGCGACCTGGACAATTGTAGCTGGCTCGTTGCGTCCTTTGACCATCAATCCCTTCTGCCATTTTTCCTTCTTGACTGCCTTGGGGATGGCGGGGCCATCTTTCAAATATTGAGACGATGCATGCGACGCGCGAATCTCACACCACGGCCCATCGGTCTCGATCTGTAGCCTTTCGAGAGGGACGGCTTTGACCGCCTCAAGATTTTCATCTGTTTTCATGCTGCACCCATTGATCCCAATATCGAACCCAAGCTTGACCACGGCCTCCAACTCCGGTATGGTCCCAGTGAAGCTGTGCACCAAGCCGCGTTTGGGTAGTCTGTCTAGACGACTAGACATGATCCTCTCAAAATCGTCACTGCATGCCCTCGAGTGGAGAAACAGGGGCAACTGCAAATCCTCGGCCAGATCGAGTTGTAGCTCGAAATACTTGAGCTGAACATCTTTCGGCGACAAGAACAGTCGATCATAATCCAGTCCGATCTCGCCAAATGCCACCGCATGGCCGGTCTCCTTGGCTTCCAGGGCAAGAGCACGTAGATCGTTGATCAGGGCGCCAGGCCCCCCTGGATGATTGTCGAAGTCCTGAGTTGAACAAGGATGAACGCCAACGGTGGCGTAGCATGTCCCAGCTATTAAGCCGTCAGTATTGGGGTAAAACAATCAAGTGCAGACCATACGGTATTGTTTGGCAATCTCGACAGCATGCCGTGACTCTGTCAGACTGGAGCCGGTGACCATCAACTTCGTACACCCCACATCAAGGGCTCTTTGAATCACATCGTCAAGGTCGTCCGGGTGTGCCTGTTTGCCGTGGTATTGTCCACGGAACACAGGATCTCCAAGATTGATACCGACCTGGCGTTGTCAGATTCTGGGTCCGATTTGATTGGTCGTCTACGCACGTCGGCATACCTCAAGGGCTTAGATTCGGCCATGTTTGTGTAGCTGGCTCTGGTGGATACAGGCCGTTGAGTCAAGCTTCCACCAGGTCGAGCCAGAGTTCTTGAGGCTACAGAAGACGTGAGCAACAAGACGACAAAGCACAATGACTGCCAGTAGATCAGGGTCATCCATACCAACATAAAGCGCTCCACGCAGTGGGCGGACTGAAAATGGCAAAGGGGCTCTTCTTAAAATCTGCCTGCAGGGTATCATGAATTACACCGTGCGAGGTTGGCGAGGCTGGAGACGATATACTGCAGGGAGAAGGACAAATGTGGCCGACCGCATAGCCTGGTGCGGACACGAGGCTGAACGAAAATATTGCAGACCCAGGAAGTCTTGCTGCTTTAATGCTTATCACGTGGATTTAATGATTTATCGAACGCCAGGGTCATTTTTGTTCAGATATTCTTACTATAAAGCAAAAATCAGAGTCCTGAATAGCAGAATGAAGCGTTTACACCAGGATGACACATGGGTCAAGGTGCTGCATGTACGCTGATGATCAAGTCTTCACGAGGCTGGGTTGACCAGGGCAGCCTCAAGCTGTTAACTCATTTCCCCATGTCGGTAAGAAAACCATCCAGGTCTCGCCGCGTCTACTCGCACAGAGTTTATATATACCTACGTAGCATTCTGCGTCACATAACGTACATTAGGCTTCATCTCACAAGAACAAACATTCATTCTTACATGGCTATATGGAGCGCTGGAGGCATCCTCGTGCGGCGTTCCGCTTCGGTCGGAGTTGCGCCGACAAAAGCGACACGTGACATTCGCCCCTTTTTCATTCTCCTCACCGACAACTCCGCAAATTGCAGAGCATCGGCGAAAGGGCCGAGATGGATTCGTCGCGGTTGGCAAAGATGGAGGCCACTTTGGTAGTCTGTCTTCCGGGGTTTGATATCTGTCTAGGCTGATTGGCCAGAAGACAACAATCTGGAGTCTCCAGCCGGCTGGGACCCCGGCGAAAAGACGACCAACATCGACATTGACCCCAAAAGTCGCTACAACTCTGATGTGATCTCCAAACGACAGGAGTGGCCACCGATTTGAATTTACAATATGTACCTATAGTAACAGATTTATTCTTCTCGCTCAAGTTTTTTTCCTTGCCCCATATTGCACGAAGGAGACGTCTGAATAGAACCACTGCTTTTTTGTTTTCAGTTTCCTTCCGAATTCCATTGTCCTACATCCAGTAGCAGGAACCGACCATCAATCATGGCGTCGCCGCGCAAGATCTCGGTGACCGAGATCTCTCAACATAACAAAGACACGGACTGCTGGATCGTCGTCGACGGCAACGTCTGGGACATCACAAAATTCGCCCCCGAACACCCCGGCGGCCCCGGTATCATCTACAAGTACGCCGGACGGGACGCGACCAAGATCTACAACGAGATCCATTCGCCCTCGTTAATCAAAACAAATTTGCCGGCTGAAGCACTCAAGGGCGTCCTCGACACATCAACAATAACCGAAGAATGGTCACGTCCCTTACCCGACGAAACACCATCATCCAAACCAGCCTCATCAACCGAGAAACCACCCCTGGAATCCTTGCTCAACGCACACGATTTTGAACTAGCAGCCGAACACAGCGCGACCGCCAAAACATGGGCATTCTACAGCTCCGCCAGCAACGACCTGATCACAAAGGACCTCAACGCCGCACTCTGGCGGCAAGTTTTGTTTCGGCCCCGCGTGATGCGCAAAGTCGACCAGATCACAACCGACACCACCATTCTCGGCATCCCGTGCTCTTTTCCCCTGATGATTTCACCAGCCGCAATGGCGCGCCTGATCCACCCGGACGGCGAGCTCGCAATCGGACGCGCGGCAAAAGCAAAGTCCATAGTGCAATGCATATCAAACAATGCATCGTACTCAGCATCGGAAATCGTATCTCAACCGCAAGTCAACACCTATCCATTCTTTTTCCAACTCTACGTCAACCGTGAACGGCACAAGTCCGAAGCATTACTTCGGCACATCCACTCGCATTCCAACATCAAAGCTATCTTCGTCACCACCGATGCAGCCGCAGCAGGGAAACGCGAAGCCGACGAACGCGTCAAAGCCGACGAAACGATCCAGAACCCCATGATGACCACTAAGGCCAAAAACGACAAGAAGGGCGGCGGGTACGGACGGCTCATGGGTTCTTTTATTGATCCGAACTTACACTGGGGTGATATCGCGTGGTTGCGCAAAAACACGCATTTACCTCTAGTTCTTAAGGGCATCATGTCGGCGGACGATGTGAGATTGGCCCTCGACCATGGTCTTGACGGTGTCGTGCTTTCGAATCACGGAGGTCGCAACCTCGATACCTCCCCGCCTGCACTGTTGGTGTTGTTGGAGATCCATGCCCGGTATCCCGAGATCATTACGCAACATCATCCGAGATCTCATGCTGTCAGGTCGGGACGATCCAGGCCGTTTTCGATTTTTGTCGATGGAGGTATTCGTCGCGGCACCGATATACTCAAAGCCGTTTGTTTGGGCGCCGTGGCAGTGGGGGTGGGGAGACCTGTGCTTTTTGCTACGGGGTATGGTCAGGACGGGGTGGAGCAACTTGTGGATATCTTGAAGGATGAGTTCGAGGTCGCCATGCGCAACAACGGTATTACGAGTCTGGATGAGTGTTCGCCTGAGTATGTCAATACGGGCGCTATTGATAAGTGGGTTGTCAAGAGGAGGGATCATCCTTATGCTGTACATTGGACTAGGGATACGCTGGTTACGGACAGTTTGTTTGGGACGGGGAGGGAAAGTAAGTTGTGATTATCGAGTCAAAAAGAGTGGACAGCAACGCAGTGGATTGCATTCTTGGTTCTAGACGCAACGTAATCCGGAGAGTATGGTTTACGTCGGTGGGGAAGGCAATGTGAGAGCGAGGATTTATTACAGAAATATACACTGGTGGCGTTCCAGTGGTTACTTTACAGATCGGTTTCTACATTTATAGGAGCATGGTGTGAGATAGGCATCAAGATATACATATTTTGACGTTTCAAGAATGTGTTTGCGATCAAGCAAGCCCTGTCAGTCCAGGACGACTGCATGATTGAGTATCGTTCAAGCGTATCTTACAAACGCATCGAAGTCTGTTCTTCAATGTGGTTGTTTCCAAGTCTTCCACTACTACTCTGTACGATCCTACTAGTATTGATTGATCTACTGTTCAACAGAACATATGCAGCGTACATATAACATATATACGTATCTCTTATTTATAAAGGTGGTCCAAACCGATCACAATCCCTCAAACATCTCCTCAACACCCGAACAACATTTTCCCGCTCGACAGGATCCCTCGTCTTCCACACTTTCCGCACCGAGTTCCACACTTCCTCCACTTTGGCCCGCGAGCCCGTGCACCGGGTATATGCGCGCAGGAGCCAGCAGACCAAGGGGCGTGTTGCTTGAACTTGATGGGGAGAAGTGGTCGAGATGGGACGGGTTTCAAAATCATCGTGGTCGTGGTCGTGGTCTTCCTCGTGGTCATGGTCCAGCCCCTCGTCCACCTCCTCCTTCTCTGCGCCTTGGCGCTCAACGCTACCCTGATCATTTTGCAAACCATCCGCGGAGTCAGCCCCAATGGCGGCGCTCGGAGGAGGCAGGACATATTCGCCTTCTTCCTGGTCAATTTTGGTTTCACCCAGCGGATAGTACGTCTGCTGGGGTACCGCATCCCTTCCTGCTCGTCTCTGCAAAAACGACGATTTCTTTTTTGCCTCTTCTTCTTCGTCGAACAGCTCGGCATGCACTCGTTCGATATGTTTCCGGCGCTCGTTGGGAAACAATGCCAAGTCAAGCACAAAGTCGTTCCACGCGCTCATGCGCTTTAGTCCTCCGCGTTGCTGGTGCTGTGGTGAGGTGGAATGTGCATTGTCGTTTTGGTGTAGTCCACCCGCTTCGTCCTCTTCAGCCGCAAGCTTGTTGACTACATGAATGGATGGCAACGTAGGCTCTGCCGATCTTGAGTTCGGCCGCCTCCGTGCCGCTTGACCCTCCTTGATAGCCCGACGACATGCGTCCCACACCATATCCAGTCGCTTGACGCTCCACGTCGCATCGGGATCGCTCGTTGCTCCGTGCAAAGCGAACCCTTTGAATAACAACTGAAAGGTAATACTCTGGAACGGCAGCTTGAACAGCGTCGACATCTCGTCCATTAAGACAGTGATCCGATTCAAGTTGCCCGAGACATTGACGTGGTACGAAATCATGGTCCGAAACGTCGTATGATCCGGCGTCAGCGGCATGGTGTTCTGTAACTGTTCATGGTGTCCTGGCAACGTCTGTTTCAGGCGTGAAGCCGAAAGCAATGTCCTCCCCAAAGAGTTTGCAGCCATCTCGTGCTCAATAACTTCGGGACCGGGACCGGGGTATTTTCTGTACAAAACAGACCTACCATCTCCTCGTTTGCCCCGACGTAGTTCTAGCTGAAGACTCTTCATTCGTTCGTAAATCTGTTCTGCCGCCGCCGGTTCCTGGGCGTTGAAGAGTGAAGCAATTACGCAGTTAAGAACCAAAGTATCGACAATCTCGCCGGCGTCAACAAAGTCACGGTACGCCTTTCGGACGGCATCACCATCTCCACGTAGACCGTGGTAGTAGATGACACTTACGCGACCGAGCCTGTTCAAGCGCAGGCCACGGTCATGCATTTCTTTCAACACCATCTGAGCCACGCTATACTTGTTGGCCCGGACCGCAATGTCGAAGAGGATATTGAAGGTGACATGGTGTGCTTTGACGCCAGCCTCTTGCTCCATCTGTTTCCAGATTCGGAACGAGTTCACCATATCGGCTTCTGTCACCCTGGTAAAAGACCTTCCTGCAAGGTAGATTGCCGACGCCCATTCTGCCTTGGTGATGGGCAGTCCTGCCTTCTGCATATCGTCGATGAGCGAAAGATACCGGATCATCGACTTTTCGCTTTTCTGCCACGGTGTTGCCATGCGTTGCAGGAAGACCCGGACCACGCCCCGCGGGAGAAAGGCCACTCCTGGCTGTGGTAGTCGTTTGTACGCCTGGAACAGAGCTGCATTGGACGAGCGATCATCGAGAAGTAGGTCAATGAAATCACTCGTGACTGATATCTCTCGCAATTGTCGGGTCTTCAATCGTTTCTCGATTTCCTTCAGTGGCGACTCGTATCTCTCCTCGTCTTGGTTGTAGAACTCGGCGTACGCCTGGGGAGGGGCAAAGTCTTCAGATAGCTTGAAACTGTAATCTTCGAGAAATGTTGGAGTCGGTGAGAGATCTGACGATTCCGGATCGAACCGACTCCGATGAGTGTAGAAATACAAATCGACGAGATTCTTGTAGTCCTCTTTCGATAGCTCGACTGTTGGAGGTTCTGGCTTAGGGGACCGTTCCACGCTCTTGCGCACCGAGGTTGTCAACTCGGCTTTCGCCCTGGCTAATTTCTCTTCAAGTTCCCGTACGGACTTGAGTAGTCGTAGCTGTTCGTTCACGGCGGGTTCCGAGTCTGCTGTTCCATCGTCTTGACCTTTTGGCTTTGTCCTTTCCACCTTTTTTTCCAAACGCTCTATGTCGTCGAAGAAACCCGGAGGCAATCGGCTTCCAGCAGCGAAGTCACGTTTCCGGCCTTCGATGGGGTCTGTAGGGTCAGCTGTATGCGTGTGCTGAGGCTGTTCTCTTTCGACGACCGGCAACCTCTGTGGATTCACAGCGCTGCTGAGCCTCCGACGTTGGTCCCATGCTATCAATTTGTGCCTTGCCTGTTTACTTCGTTTTCGTGAAAGACTCGGGACGGCCGAGCGCGTGGTAACGTCCGAAGTACGCCGAGTTCTTTGATGCGGCGCTGCCAGTGAACGACATCCCGCTGATATAGACAAAGCGCTATAAAAGATGGATTCGACCGTCTCTAGATTGCTTCGATACACGACAGCAGACAACGCCGGCGAGGGAGCCCCGGGAAAAGCACGGCTGCAGGAGACCGCTGGAGCCAGGAAATCGCACAATGTCAAAGGTGCTATTGAGGCCGCATTTCGAATGCTCCTGCACCTGGCAAACTTGGAGGTTTGATGCATGTGCCTGTGCACATACTGATGCAAGCCTGCTTTCTGGACCGGAGAGGTGTTGAAGGGTTTGATGGCCTGTAGGGCTGTTTGAATTTCCTTGTGTCTGGTTGATGTTCATGTTGCGGACTTTTGAAGTTCCTCCACTAGCGCGCTTTTTCGCCGCAGTCAAACATCGAGCTTCATGTTGGAGTTTGAATTTCAATCCGCAAACCACTGCACCACGCAAGTCAGCATACAACACACAACTCCAGGCCAAGCAGCAAGGTCATCTAGACTGCGCGACAGATAAACTCCTTCGGGGATCCCCCTTCGCAGTCGCTGCTCCCATGCGATAGCCTCCGTCGGCTGACGAAATCAATCATCACCCGCCCACAATGGGCCGCATAAACCTCACTGCCGTCAACGTCCGCAGGACAGCCCTCGCCAAACTCAAGACCAGACAAATCCCTACAAAGCCCAGCTGGCTAGACATCACCGGCGATGTTCCCCCGGCCCAAATTCTGATCCGGCAACAACCTCTACAACATCATTTGACGAAGGTTCGCACGCGGTCACTTCCCAATGGAAAAACAGAGCAATACGTGCAAGTGGTAGAACCGAAGAAGCGCAAGACACTCAAAGACCGCCATCTATTCATGCCGAAAAAGTTACAATACGAAGAGGACTCATTGCGATCGCGATTCTTCAGTGACCACCCCTGGGAACTGGCCCGACCCCGGGTCGTCCTTGAGACGTCGGGAGATCAGTACAAAAACGCAGATTGGTCGACCGGATTGGTCCAGCCAGGTGTTCCTCTATCAGGTGAATCGGTCGTCCAGAGGCAGCTGTGGCTGCTCGGCAACGTTCCGGATATTACGGTCGCCCAAGCATATGACATTGCTCGAAAGGAATTCTATACCCTACGGCGACAGGAGGAGACACGGAACCGGATCGCCGCTGAAGAAGCCCGGCATATGGGCGCACAGTTTGGCAAGTCGGCCATCCAGATCAGTATGCAGATCGAAAATCAAATGTACAATGACTGGGAGAAGTGGAGCCGACAACAAGTGGCCGAACAAACGCAGAGAGCTGCCGCATTTGAGGGAACAATCAGTAAAGTGGAAGACCAGTCATTGAAAGAAGTTGCTCAGGTCGAAGGCGAAGGCGAGCGACCTGCCATTGGAGCGGGTGTCTTTGCTCAGCAGCAAAAGTTGGATTCTCGCAACCTTCGACGTTCAGTGAATCCTGCACAACATCAAGTCAAGGCCTAGATATAGGCGGTGCAAACAGGTGTACCTTGTCTCTGGCGTTGACCTGGTGTTTCGAGCCCATACATCGTTACTGGCTCAATACTGAAGCGAGTGTCAACTTGACATCTTGGGATGTGTCGGAGTACATTGTGATAGGTTGTCTAACCAGATGAATTTCTCTCCAGAATTTCTCTCCATATCATCAAGTTGGCGATGGGATTTTGGTGTAATGGATACGGTATATAGACCAGTTGTGTATATATATTATCGTCAGACAGCTGCCTTTCTGACTGATTACTGATGTTTTAGGATCAACCTAAACCACGATTTGACTAGATCCCTTATGGACGAAGGTGGTGATAGGCTGACGGAAACGACACAGCAAAAGGTACCTACTACTACCGACTACTAGTAATATCTCAGCATCCCAGGATACCATACCAGTACTACTCCATCCGCGTTCATCCCTTCTTGTAGACCAGGCGACAGCACAAACCGAACACTTCTCACAGCGCACCGATCGCAACAGACCGAAGTTGCAGTCTCCATAATTGTATCTTTTCCTCGAGATGGCGACACCATGGAACAATGTATATCATCTTCGCACCGTCGCGGAGACATCTTCCAAAGCCTGTTATGTGTGCCACAAGCCTTCCACAAAAGTGCTCATAACACCGGATAACAAGGTATTTAGTAGTCATTCCCGTCCCCATTCCGGGTGATCATGCTGCTGCTGCCAGTCATAACTGCAATCTATCTCCATCCGTACAACACCAACAATAAATGTCTGTCTGCTAGGATTTCTTCTACACCTGTGTCTCCCACCTCAGTGACAAAGGCTTCGCCTCGCCCATAATCGACCAGGAGGCCGAAGCTGCCAAGAAGAAAAAAGAACAGATGGACCGAGAAATCGAGAAGATCAAACAAGAATACGAAGAAAAGCAACGCAAAAAGAAGGCCACCAAGAGCAACGACAAGGACAAGAAAAAGGATTCTAACGACGACGATGGCAAGGCCGAGAAGGAAAGGGATGACAAGGTATGTACCTTTTTCGGTACTGGTAACCGATTCACTTTACAGGCCAATCATGATCTAACTTGATCTCATCAAAGATCAAAGCCGTCCAGGCGGGCGCCAACTCCAGTGACCAAACCGGCGCAATACCGCGGGTGTACGCACTGCACAGGTAGGATCCCTTGTGCCTAGTCTTAGGAACACCATACAATGTTTTGACACTTTTGTTTGATGTGGCAGGACATTCTACCAGATGAGACTCGAGCGAGCCCGAAGCTTGGAACAGGCGAAAAGAGCGCAGCAGCGCATGCGGGATCCAAACCTCTTTCCTGCAGCGCCTAAAGGAGACATTGTGTGATGGATTTTCAGAGTCATCGCGTTTTCCGAGTGTTCTCGCTGCCTAGGTTCAAACATGTCCCAGTTGTCAGGCCCCTCGACGCTATCTAGGATATCCAAGACTCATGGCCCGTGAAGACTCTGTTCAGATTCAGATCCTGGGAGCAGGGCCTGCAAACCTCGGGTGGAGATGTTGCAGCAGAGACAAACCCACTCACGACTACTGTGGAAAAGGCTTTTGTCGGTCTCCTGGAGCCAAGTCACCGTCACCGAGACCTCCCCATTACATGCAGTGCCAAATGTTGGTTACATCTGACTGCAGAGGGTCACAGAACGGTAGCCTACAGCAGCCGCCGTCGGACGGAAAAGTCCACTTGACTTGACAAGCATTCGACTACCAATACCCTTTTTTCCGTCTCGCACACCCGCGGCTCGCCTCGAGGCTTGTTTGAATCAAGAGACTCAGGTCTTGGCCCGCAGCCTCGGTCAGCACCAAATTTCCAAAGAGTCGGCGGGACATGCTCCCCTGCCTAGCCTAGCCCTACCTGGAAATCTTTCTAAATGTGGGAAAAGGAATTGATCAGTGCAGCCTAATCATATCGTGCAGTGCATTTGCTATCCTTGCTCGGCGCACTGCACTGCAGTTGACTTGTACACTGCACTGACTGGGATTATAGAGGGCACACGATCTTCTAGACCTATATCACACCGACACGTGGGGAGGTAGGTAGGCAGGTGGTGGTGGCGGCACACTTTGTTTGCGCTTACACGATCCTTGCGCGATTTGTCAAACACGAGCTCAAGCTCACAACATGCAGATGATGACGATGACGATGTTGCTGCTGCTGCTGCTGCCGCCGCCGCCGTCGGGCGCTCCGGGAAAAAAAAACTAATCAATGGATGGACTTTGTGCGGCAAAAGCAATCGCTTGGACTCAAAATCAGCAACATTGAATGGAATGAGACAGAGACGTGCCCTAGACCTGAGACCCGGAACAACCCGCGGACCTGAGCTTCATTTCTTCAAGCATTTTTACACCAATGTACGGCCCCCCGCCGAGCCGCTACCCGCGCATCGCTCCTGTCATTTCGACAAAAGCAATTAGGCAGATGGTCACATCCTTGTCCATGTTGTGGCAGGATTGACCTGGCGTCGTTTCTTTTTTCTTCATTTTCTGTCCCTCCAAGTTGTCAGCAACACATACCTATGTAAGGCCGTGCTCTGTGTGTGTGTGGCGGCGGGCGGAAGAAACGGAAATGCCAACCAAACTTCAGCTCACGCCAACGGCGCCGCCAAAACTTAGCGTGGGGGAGAAAGAAACAAAACTTGGAGTTCATGGTCTCGGAGGACTCGAACGACCTGGCCTGGCAAAACTGTACTGGAACTTGAACTGGTTCTGGTTCTGGTTCTGGCTCTGGTTCTGGTCCATGGATGCAATGAACCAGGGGGGATAATGATACCACGGTCGGATTCCAGTGTCCTCCAGCACTACAGAGTCATCTTCTCTAGTCTGCACCGTGCTGGAACGAAACATCGCAAGACAAAGGATCCTGGACCCTCCAACAACAGCTTATTGTTGCCATCCAAAGCCGAGGTGCCCAAGACAAGCGGCTCCGAGACTAGCAACCGAGGATCAAGAATTCATTGCTGCAACGCTCAAAACAATAAGAATAATAATGGTTTCTTCTTCTTCTTGGCCGACATTTCATCGTATCAGGGGATCTGTATATACGTGGTTTGCCGGTCTAAGGGCATGGCTCGGCGGCATGTATTGTATGTACCTTACATAGTGCACACATGGCATGACTGCATGAAATCCCATTTCTCACATAAACAAGTCTTTCGTTTACATCCATCTCTAAAGTGTCAGTCAGTCAAGAAGACAATCACAGACTGCCGTTCTCGCTCCTCCTCATCCCCGGAGGTAACCTCACTCCTGATCCCGCTGTGGAAGTATATGCCAACCCTCCCGGTATTCCTCTTCTTCCTCCTCCGCTACCACCACCACCACCACCACCACCACCACCACCACCACCACCACCACCACCGGGTCCCGCGGCAGATACACCTCTACCTCCGGATATGCCTGCTGTAGCCGGTCCCGGTCTGGGTCTCGCCCGTACTTCATCGACTTTACTCCTAGCCACACCAAACCCGGGGGTCACCCAGCCACCACAGCTACACCGCAAGCCCTGCCAAGCATATTTCCCAATATTAGCACCACATCTCGGGTTCGGACAGGCCAAGCGGCCATCGAGCTCGCCCTGAGCAAGAACGTCCTTCATCCACGACAGCGGATGCAGGAAGACATGTGCACACGGTTCTGTTGCGGAGGACGGGTCGCGGTGCGCAGGCGGTTTATGGGGAATAATGAAAGCCGTCTTGGCCAGCAGGCGACGGCATTTGCGGCATTTCAACTCGATTTCCGGCGCCGGGGACGGACCACTGTCAGTGTCTGACACAGTGATGTCGGGGTCGGTAATCTCAGCGTCGACAGTCTTGACACTAAGGGATTTCATGGCCTGGCCTATGGACCGCTGCTGCTCCTCCTCATCCTCGTCCTCGTCTTCCTCGTCCCTAAAAGTAATGTGATCGATTTCAGGGGCGCGATTGACGCTCAGGGCGTCCATGACGTTCCGAGAATTCATCCAACGTCGGTATATCTTATGCGACTCCAGCTGTTCCTGGGTCGTCGGGCAACCCATGGCTTCGTACATGCGTAACTGCTTGATGAATCCCGAGTTGGGCTCGACTTGGGGTCGGCTCTCCCGCACAAGTGCCAACGCCGAGTCCACTGTCAATGGCGTCGGTGGCAGTGAGACCATCTCGGGACTGTTATCGGAAGTTGGTGGCTCCTCGGACGATGACTCGGAGCTTGTCGTATTGTGCGAGGATGACTTCGACTTCGGATTGTGAACTGTGACAGGCTGCCGAGAGCGCCACAAGAGATATGCTATAACAATGGTGGCGGAACGTGACACGCCCATGGCACTGTATTGACATCGTTAGTATCTCCAATATCCAACACCCAGACCCTGTATATGCAGAATGAATTGCTGGAACTTCAATATCAAAACATGACAAGTCTAATGGCTAACGCTCTCAATGGCACCGGGCACGTGATCATCTCCTCCTGTCGACCCGTCCTTTCTGGTATAGTACGGCAAAACATCGCTGGTGTCCATAATAGGACAGTCGCACCCTCAAGAGATGGCTATCACATGCACTGCGGTCTCGTAACAGTTGAACTCCGGGGGCGGGGAGAATCCAAGCGTCAGCGTGGCAAAAGGAGGCCAACTGAACCGAGCCAAGACTGAAACAGCAGAGCCTGATTCACCACGACCAAACAGTAAAGTATTATCAGGCGACACCGTGATGGGATGGTACCCCGGAGCCAGGCACACCGGAGATCATGGGCCCCTTACCACCTCAACTGGGCACTGGTAAGCCGCGTCACCCCCGATCTAGTCCCTTGCCAGTATCAAGAGTAAATGACGCGGCTTCTCAGGAACCACCAACAACGTGGAAGCTAGAAACTGTGAAACGCCGGTATGTATATGAAGCAATTCAAAAGTGTAACAACGCGAAAATAAACGCCAACAAACCTACCAGTGAACGAGAACCCCGCTTTGGCGGACTTTGTCGCCGGCATCACCGCCCAGCGGTTCACGCGTTGATGACTCATCGGCGGGCCAGGAGTTTAAGGCTTCATGAATGAAGGCGTTGCTCTTGGGGAAGTACTCAAGAATGTTTGAATCATAGACATCGTCCAGAGGGATGCGCAGATGTTGGAATCCACGCAGTGGAGCCCAGCCTTGTGGGAATTTCCAGTCGATCACGGAGACGATATGGGTGATGTTGGCTTCTTGCAGCGTCTTGGGACGACGTAAAGCATGGAAACTGCAATGACACACGTGTCAGGACAAGGTTTGAGGGTGCATGTTGAGAATGATGCCAGAAGCAAGGCTTTCGCAAGGCCGTGTTCAACACAGGAAGCAGGAGAGATGCCAGGACAAGGCCAAACGTACCCATCAATGTAGATATTGTAACCAGGGCATTTGCTGGGTAAGATTGGCAGATCCATGCTGGCGAACTAATAGTGCAGATGCACAAAATTGTTCAAGTCTAGGCGCGCAAGACAGCCCGGATGGCGCTTGAGCCGAAGAAGGGCAGGGCGGCAAGGTGAAAAAACTGATCCCTGCCGTTCAAAAGCCACCAGGGCACCAACCGGCGCGCTGGACTATGACCAGGGCGCTGAAACCTGGCCACGAATATAGTGGTGCACGGTCGACCCGCGGCGTCCGAAGGCACTCCGAAAAGGCAGGTTCAGCAGTGCGTTATTGTGGGTGGATGTCTTCTCTACCGGCTCTATGTTCAGAAAACATTGTAAGAATGAGTGACATATCATTAGTATTGAATTAATACAACGGCGGCAAAAGGGTCGAAGTACAAGGCGAATTGCGGCGTTGGCGGCAAAACTCAAAGACGGAGTCGGATTAAGATTTTTGCCTCGGCTCAACGCCAAGCGACCAACCCAATCGAGCAGGAACTCGATGACCTTCCAGTTCAAGTTGGGGTTGGAGATAGCGACAGGAGCAGGAGCAGGAGCATGGGCTCCAAGCCAGGAACCTCAGCCTGCTGACTGACTTTCTGCCAGTGGTTCATGAAATATTCTTTTTCTGATCTGCTGGTGGCGGGATGGCGCGCGGGCGTTCAGGCCAGAACAATTGCGGCAGTGAGCGGACCAGGACTCTGTCCGGTGCAGAAACATACAGCGACCTCAGCATCCCTTGCCCTGGTCATCCAGGAACACTGGCATGTCTCCGGCGTTCTATCCTTACAGGTACTACTAGGTATGCAAGGGACGAGGACGCTCTCACATGGAAACACGCTGGACTTGGCTTCGAAGAGAACAAAGTGAGAAGCTGTCAATTCCAGCATAGGCCTGTGGCTGTAGTAATGATGGAGTCCAATGCACTCTCCTTACGTACTTGGTCGTTACCACCTGCCGCATCCCTGATCAGACGACTCAAAACCGTCTCCAGTTCGGCCAGAAGCCAAGCTTCGTTGTGCATCGGATGTTTATCTCTGTCTGGCTTCACCCCCGCCTCCTTGCTCAGAACTCTGACCACTCCGAAGCTTGCACATCCTCAGATCCCCCAGACGATTTGCACCAAAAGGTCTTTTTGCTTTTGCCCGCCCTGCCAGTAGCCTTGCGGATTCAGAGTTTGACGCCACGACGTCTCAAAATGCCCCAGCACTCCCTGCAACCTTCAAACCTGAATCACCGGTGCTCCATGTTTTTGTGGCCGCGTGGTCTTGGTCAAAAGGGAAAGACGTGACGGCGCCATTGATTCTTACAGTACTCCAGTATGACCGCGTTATGCTTCGCGTTGGCCAAACGAATCGTGTTTTTTGCGCTGGGAGAAGGCAAACCTCGGTTCACACGTTGCACAAAGTGTGCAAGAGCTCGTACACATCTGGTGCACATATCAACTGCTCTTGAGTTCATACAGGGGATCAGTTGTCATTATTCGCGCGAGCCTAGTGATAAACTTATGAGTAAGGACGAATATTTCCTACTGGTGGGAAGGCAGGCTGGATGAGTTGTTGATAGGGGCGCCTTCAGATAGTAAATAGGTGCTAGATGCACTTCATCAAACTCTTCGGCTGAACATTCATACGTGCGTCAGTTCCGGGATATCCATCAATCGCGGATTCTCGTATTAACAATCGGTGCGTTCCAAGATAATTGAAAAGAAAACCAATCGAGGGTTAAAGGAGGAACTCCGCTGTGCCCGATGAGCCAGGTGATTCCCAGTCATTTGGCATGGGCGGCTCACAAGGTGGATGAACAAGCCACCAAACAACGGGCGCACTTCGAGTCATGTCGGTCAACAGTAGTAGTAGGGATAAGGATAGAAGACGCATGTCCGAGCATGGATAGGTGTCGTGCACGTCATCTTGAGGATGGAGGCGGTTCTAAAGGACAACCACATCCGAACTTTCTGTCCGGCGCACGCAAATTCAAACTCCTGCCTTTGCCCAGTGAGAGGGCTTTACTCTGCATCTCGCTTGAAACATGTAGGTTTCAGAGAAGCCATTATAACATAAGGCTCAGCTCGGACGGCAATAGGGCGGCGGGTTGGTGAAGCGGACAATTCTAGACTCGGCAGGGTGATCAAGCGAGATGCTGCCCTGCCTGAATGATACAGGTTGGAACTACCAGGGGCTCCGGACTAACAGAACGGCGTACGGCGTACGGCGTACCGTCTTTGGTTCGACTCGTTCCGCGTATTGGCCGACCCTGTCTTGTTGCGTCTTGTTGGAAATATTCCCGCTCCAACGAGCAACAAGTTGGCGCCTCATAGGGCGAAGATGCCCGCTTGTGCTTACTCATGTGGCAGGACCCGCCGAGCGCCACAAACCCCAACTCAGGCGTTCGAGCCCTCGGAAGACTAGCCCTGATGTAGATGCTCGTCGCCCGAGTATCCCGACATCACCGACATGTGGCCAACAGTGCCCTGTCCACACTACCGCCAAGCACCATTCTAGGCCACTCTTGAGCCAGACCAGTGGTGCCATTCATGGCAAGCAGGTCTATGCGATGTGTCCGAATGGGACCCGTGGCCTCGTGGCTCGGAGAAGCTGACTCGATGGCTTCGAATATTTCAATTTTGGCCGTGGATCACACTTGTGGTAACACATTACGACCCATCGCCAGGATGCTGAAGGTTCGAGGCACCCCTAGACCATCCATATCTCTAATTATTGCAGGGTTAGACGAAGGGGAGCAAAGGCAGAGGGTAGTGGCAAGGACGTCGCCTCTGACCTCCTAACACGCTCCTATTAGGTAGGATGTAGCTGAAGCATGATGGAGTCAAATCTGAACCTTTTTGTTATTTTGTCTGTTTTCTTGCTTCCCTTGACGTAAATAGATATGAGACTGATGAGAAACTCCAACACAGTGATCTGACCTTCGGTAGGGCTGAGCCGGTGGCACTGTGGCTCTTTGAATTTGACTTCATGCAGTAATGGTGCAGTGGCGGTCGTGGTGGTAGCAGTAGAGTTCGTAGAGTTCCACAATGCTATATTTCAGCCTGCGCTCTGCCTACCTGCCTAGATAGGTAAGGCAGGTACATACCTACAATGTTGTACAATGGTACAACATGGGACAGTACCTTTAGTAGTACTGCTGTGATGTGGGTAGCCTCCGCTTACACCTGCACTTGCGCGTGGTGCCGAGCGGCAGGATGGAAGAGTGGCCACTGGGCGCCCCGAGGAAGAACAATCCCCTACTACTAGCAGTAGCCTACTCGCCCTGGCATAGGGTATCCCTGGGCTTAGTTACAGCTACGACACGCCCGGGCCCTCTGCCGTACAAGCCAGTCTAAGCCTGGAGGTAGGGCTAAGGCTCCCTACTAGTGGGCGCATGCTGCACAACAGGGGCGTTTCTTAATTCCGCCCGGGCCTGGTAAGGCATGGCGCGGGCTCGACACGGCTAGTCCTGCTGGGCTTAGACTAGGACCAGGTCGGTCTGGAAGGAGAGCCGCTGTCCAGTTGTTGCTGCATTCAGAAACGCCGCCAGCGTGAAAAGGAATGACTTGTCAGTAAAATGTCATGCCAGTAGTAGTGGCGCCTCGAGTCGTGCCAGTGGAAAGGAAAATGGGGGCGCGCCTGTTCCCTCCGCCTTGCGTTCTCGTATCGCGTGGCCAATCCGCGTCGTCGACGGAGTCCTCGGCCAGCGAGAAAACAGCAGACGAAGCCAACCTCGTCCACTGCAGCCGTGGCCCTGCAGCACCGCACTCCCTCTACCCATCCATCCTGCTGTTTGAGATCAGCTTCTCTGACTCGTGCGTGGACACTCGACCCGGCGAAAGAGCAGTTCCAATTCCAGTACCACCTCAGCCACTGGTAGGGGTGTCTCGCTTGTCCCCATCTATTCTTGTTTTGCCCACTGCCTGTTGCTGCTAGTCGAGGTGACCTGCCAGTGCAGTGGTGCTGTGATCGGAGCCAGACGACGGCGACCGCAGCCCAGTCAAAGCCAACCATATGCAGCCACTACCACCACCTCACATACTACTGCAGCATGTCGACCACCGCGACCCTTTGTCCTACTCCTCTGTCTGCTTGTTGCTCGCCTGATTTTCGCTCGCGAGACCCTCTGGCCAACCCCTCCTAGGATCGTCCTTCACATCCTCAAGACCTCTCTCGACTGGTTCTCAACTGTTTCCACTGTTCGCTTGTTGTCTTCCAGAAAGATTCGTTTTATATCCTGTCCTTACCGCAGACTCCATATCGTGCCAGTCTATATTCCGACTTTAGGACCGTCCAATTCTCGACCGACTACATGCCCGCGGCAACGATCCAGACGAGCTGAAACAGCAAAGAGGGAATGAGAGGAGAATACTACTTACTTACGACAGTGTCAATAGAGCGTGCTCACGGCAGCTGAATCCTGCAAAGTATATCTACTCGGTGGACCACAAACAGGGCTCTGCACTTGCCACCGCCAAAGATCCATTCAATACGAGGCTGGCCCCGATCCATGCGCGTTGCCTCAGGGTCGCTTTGCCCTTCTCCAATGTTGCAGTGACCGCTGAAACAGGACATGGATACTGGCAGGACGTTCCCGGCTGCAGTGCGGACACCGTCTTACGGGGAGAATGCTGGCACGCTCCAATATCCTTCACGGTCGAATTCGCAGACTTCAGACGACACATTTCCGCCTCGAGAAGCCATGCCTATACCGGGCGCCCGCTTGAACGACGCACCGCCACCTCTCCCTCCTCCGCGCTACAATGAAGAGTTGGACCACGGTATAGATCTTGCCTGGAGTTGGGCCAACAGTGATCCTTTCGGCAACACTGCTAGACGTTTGGCCCCAATCAAGCCGACCTCGAGCCTGTTCGGTGGCTATATGCAGTCAAAGAGCGGTTCTGGCCGATTGCGCGAGGATGAAATGGACCTTGACGAACACCTGAGGAGAGGCAGCAATGCTTCGACCGCGAGGTCGCCCAAGCTGATGGCAAGGGAGGCTGGTCACGCGCCGACCATGCCCCGAAAGCCGCCATCGCCAGGTATGGCAAGCCAGAGGTCAGTCCAGCATTGGCATACTAGCAACGGCTCTTCAGCCATTACCCGGAGTGTCCGCGCTTTTACTTTTCCACTTGCCATCTTGTCCCATACTCCGGAATCTCCGTGGACCTATCAAGGACACTATGCTCAGTTGACCCAAGGCAGCTGTCTGCGAACACAGATGGAGTTGAGCTGACATCTTTTTTCCTTTTTAGGCTTCAAGGAGAAATGCCCCTAGCCCGGCAGAACTTCACTCGTTCCTCGCAAGCATACGACCAGCGTGTGTTGTCCAAGATTGGAAAGCCCAATTCGCCTCCACGGCATCAGCGAACTGGCTCGATGGAACCTCCCATGTTCCCTAGAAATTTGGCACTGCAAACCAAAGAATCCAAGATCCAAGTGCTGTCAGCCAATGAGCATCCTAACGCACCTCTCGACTCCATCTCCCGGTGGATCACCAGTCCAGTGTCAGGCGGCGTGTCTCCGAATGCATGTTCAGGTTGGCGTGAGGGTAAACCAGGCCACCGGAACTCCTCCGTTGACTGTGCGGCCGGCTCTCTGGTATTGGATCCAGAGTTATTTGTACCGCCTCGCCCTACCGGCCTTATCTCCACTGGCAGCTCAGTCCTTGGTCACGAAGATGCAGCGAGCTTGGGTGGCCGTTCCCAACGGGGCAGTTATGATCAGGGAACCTTGGCAGAATCAGAATTGCTGGGCGACGAGAACTGCGCGTTCCGTAATCTGATCTGCAGCGATCGCGATCCTCCATTGCCAGCTACACGACGACCTTCTCAGCAGGGTATGAAGCGGCGAGCATTGTCACCTCCGTCCCACATGGCCAGAGAGGACAAGTCGCCGCTCCTTAGTTCCAAGTCTACAGAACCGTTGCCCAGGATCCAGACGACTTCGTCTACAATGTCGCCGGTGTCACCATATCGGCTACAACATGGGTCAGTGTCTTCAACATCGTCGAGCATAAGACAGAATTCATATTCATCATCCCTTACACTTTCTGTTGGCGGTAGCAGTATGACCAGTGTATCGTCTCATGACAGGCAATCGCCGCTCGATTCTTCACACCCTGCATATCTCAGCTCAGCCCAACCGGTCTCCAGTCCTGCGACGTCAGTTACTCCCTCCGTGTCGCAACCTACGCAGTCTCCTGTTGACACCAAACCCCCCTATCCGACCATGTCCATTCACACTGCCGTCAATGAAACGAGGGTACCGCTCCCTCCTGCCACGCGCATTGGGAACTATTTCATATGCGATTGCTGTCCCAAGAAGCCGAAGAAATTCGAAGCAGAGGCGGACTTGAGGTGAGTATTTGATCTGGCATTTCGCCCTTTTGCACTATCCCGTGGGTCCTAACATGCGTGAAGGGCACATCAAATGGAGAAACAGTACTCATGCCAGTACTGCCATAATCGTTTCAAGAACAAAAACGAAGCAGAACGGCATCAGAACTCACTCCATCTGCGACGACATTCTTGGTCGTGTGCGTCCATTCCTAATTACCAGGCAGTCTTCTATCCCACCACTGGGTCGGGTCCCTCCGGTTCTCAAGCCTCACAGACAGACACATGCGGCTTTTGTGGAGAAGAGTTCCCCAATTTCCCTCGGCCTGATTGGGATTGTAGGATTGAGCACCTCGCCCTTGTCCACAAATTTGGCGAGTGCAACCAGTCCAAGAAATTCTACCGGGCCGACCACTTTAGGCAGCATCTTAAGCACAGCCACGGGGGGCAGAGTGGAAAGTGGACCAACATGTTGGAAAACGTGTGCTTGCGTGAAGAATTTCCCGACGCTGGCGGTATCTCACCGACGACCAAAACCTACAGTCCGGGGCGAAATCCCGGCACCTTGCCCGAGCCTCCGATGGGCGGTGCCACAATCAATGAGGTTCAAGACGAGACATGAAGAAGCGTTTTCACCCGCTTGTTCTGTTACTAGCCGTCATCCAATCGTCCGAGGTTTGATCAACCTCGAGGCAATCTTGGGCCAGGAGAATATTTCTGCAACATATGCACGTGCAGCCTCTGCAACCATCACCAGCAACAAATTTGGCGATGTCGCAAATCGGACATAGACCTCGCGCTGCTTACTGTGCATGGAGCTTTTCTCCAGAGAGCACTAGGATGCGGACTGGTCCCATTACTGAGGAGGCATTACCTTCTACTGGCACCAGGACCTACCTGTGCCAATGGTTGACCAAGTGGGGAGGAGACTTTCCTCTTCGCCCAAATGCCTTCAGCAGGATGTGCCATTGATTAGCCGTCAGAGTCGTATACGCACTGGCTCCAACGGAACTGGGATCCTAGGATGAACAGCATGACAATCAACGGCCGCTTGGCTTTTTGCTAATGAGAGCTGAGATGCCTACGGCTGCCCTCTAACACGATACAATTCAAGGGCACCTGGGATTCAGGCTGTATGTGTTTGGAGATGCCTACGGCTG